CCACTTTCCTTCCTCTTTATTATCTCCTTCACTCTACAGAGTCCAGACTGACTGATTGGTTGATTAGGTAAGCTGAGCTGGGTTGGGTTTGGGAAGGGGCTGTATTGTACACGTACGAGTATCTAGGGATTCTCATTTCCCTCAACAAAACAAAACCCGCATCCAAACAAACCCTCAAAATTCCCAATCCGCATCTCCTCCCAGTCCCAGCTTCCAAAATGGTCTGATTCTCCGTCTCCATTCCTCTTCTCACCCAATCCCCTCCTTCCACCTGTCACTCCCCCGATCTGGTAAGTCCACCTTCCATCTCTCTCCTTTCTTTACCTTCCAGATCAACTGTCCTACGTCTGCAACTCTTCGAGTAATTTGCGCTCCACTCACTATCCGAGATTTACTGCTTTAGTCTTCTTACTCGAGCTGATTTGTGCTGGTAATCTCGTCGCTTTCCGTTGATTGTGAATCTTGCTTCTTTTTCATTCTTTTTAATTTAAAATTTCTGGTGGGTTCGACTGATCTGAGTTTTTTTCTTCTTTGTTTTTTTTTTTTTGGGTCTGTTGTTAACGCGTTTTCCGGGATTTTTCAACATGTTTTCACGTGGGTATGCGAAATGGTAGTAATTCTTTTAAGTGATCAGTGAGGTCGATTAGTAATTAGCTTCAGTAATGTAGCAAAACAGTTTACTAATTTACGTGCTTATCCACAACATAATAGGTGCTCAAATTTTAGGTGGTTGACCTCTGCCGGAACAGAATCCTCAGTATGTATTCTGTCAGAAATTAACCCACATGTTGCTTGTCCGTCTTATTTTTTGTACCGTCCTCATACAGATATGTCACTATTTTCATTACCTCTGTGTTTTGTTTTTTTTTTGGGGGGGGGGGGAATATTGTGCGAGTTTTTGAATCACAGGATATGCCTGACTTTTTTTTTTTTGGAGGGTTAAAGTTTTTGAAAGAAATTATTTGTTTTTTTTTTCTTTCTTTAATGAAAATGAGAGGCATAACTTCTTCTTTTTAGTTAGAACCAGAGGCTTACTGCTATATAACTTCACTTCATTTTATGCCCTGATGGTTGAAGCAATTTGTTGATTTTGACCTTCTGAGCCTCCCCTCCCCCACCACAATGACACTCAATTACTACCTGTTTTTCTTGTTACGTGTTAACCATAGATGGGGGCGTCTTTTCAACAGTGTATGATTTAACATTACAATTTTCAAGGGTTCGGGAGTGAAATCTTGGAAACAGATTTGTTGGTAATCCGTTCATGAGATTTTCATTTTTCAATGAAACAACCAATAGATGGTGTTTTATTCACTCAGGAATTGCTTACAATGATTGGTTGCTTTGCTGAAGATGAAAATTCTGCAGTAACTGGACTTAAAGTTAGCAGTTTTGATTGATATATAACAGATCTGCTAACAACAGGACTGATAGGGTTGTTGTCCTAAGGCTTAAATCCATCATCGAGACAGAGAGAAGGCATTGCTTGTGGTTTCGGGAGACATGTTTGTGATTGTTTACATTTGCTATCTGTGAGAATTGTATTGATTGTTTATCTTCAAGTGGAGGCATTCAGAGTAATAAAGAGTATGGTTTTGTGGAGCAATATTCTTGTCTATACACCATTTCGTACTGATTTTTTGTTCTTGAATCTTCTTGAACTGATAATTTTTAAGCTGCTTTACTATATATTCTTGAAACCTCACTCTGCATAACATGGACATCATATAAAGTACATATGATATTTGGTTGTTGCTACCTGATTTTGCAACCTTAATTAACTCATTATTTTGGGTGCTTTAAATGTCTTTTATCTGATGGTAAGCTCTATTACTGTAATTTTTTGATGTGAATATCCCTTAGTGAATGCTATTATGTTTGTGGTGAACAGCCTTATCTACCATGGAAGATGCTGGTTCAGTTGCTACACTCATGGATTCTACAAGCTCCAAAATACAGCAATTGCAAAAAGCATTTGCTGAGCTTGAGAGTCATCGTGCAATTACCCTCAACTGGAAATGGAAACAACTTGAAGAGCATTTTCATGGGCTTGAGAAGTCTTTGAAGAGGCGTTTCACTGAGTTGGAAGACCAAGAAAGGGAGTTTGAAACAAAAATAGTTGAATCTAAAGAGATGTTGGAGAGGCGTCAAGCTACTGTTGTGGCCAAGGAGCAGGCTTCATTGGCGAGACTCCAGCAGAAGAGAGATGCTGCTGTCTGTGCGATTACTTCTGCTCTGGAGAAGCATAGGAAGTTATCTTCTGATGAACCTGCTTTTGATAATAGCAAGGACCATGGTGGGGCACCAGATAAGGAGGATAAACCTCCTGATGCTATGGCTGCTGAGAGCAACATAAGACAGTTGACGGCACCTTCTGAAATTGAGAATGCAGTGGTGAAGTTGTATCCAGAGCTTGTCAAGTTGTGTCAGGAGATGAATTCAGAAGGCCTGCACAAATTTATATCAGACAACCGTAAAAACCTTGCTGTTATGAGGGAGGAAATTCCAAATGCACTAAAGGCTGCAAATGATCCAGCCTCGCTGGTTCTGGACTCACTCAATGGTTTCTACAGCATGGAAATGCCTAGCTCAGATGCCAAAAAGGACTCAAACCTCCTAGGCCTTCGTCGAAGCTGTATCATGCTGATGGAATGCCTTAGCACTTCATTCACAAATTTGGATCAGGAACTCATCTCAGGTATGATCTCATCTGATGCCAAGGAACGGGCAAAAGTTATTGCTGAAGAGTGGAAGCCGAAGTTAGATGATCTTGATGTTGATGCCAGCAGTGGGAACTCCTTAGAGGCTCATGCATTCTTACAACTTCTAGCTACTTTTGGTATCAATTCTGATTTTGACCAGGAGAGCTTATCCAAGCTAATACCTATGGTTTCTCGTCGTCGCCAGACAGCTGATCTGTGTCGTTCCCTTGGATTGTCTGACAAAATGCCAGGTTGGCTTCTTGTGAACGCTATTGATAGTTATAAGATTTTTCTGAGTTATGGTTAGCAATTTGATTTGCTTCCAAATGAATATGAGTTTGTAGTTCAGTTTATTCTGTTTTCTTTCAGGTGTCATTGATGTTTTGGTGAAAAATGGGAGACAAATTGATGCTGTTAATCTGGCTTTTGCATTTGACCTGACAGAGCAGTTTTCACCTGTTATATTACTGAAATCTTACCTGAGCGACGCAGCAAAATTGTCTTCACCTAGTAAACTGGGAAACACATCACCTTCTGCACAGGTTTGTTTATATCCCTAATCCTCAACATCTACAAGAAGGACTATTGCTTCTGACGTGTTTTCTGTGGCTTGCAAAAGCATTTACTCTTGACATATTCATGTTTGGGTCTTTCCCAGGATGGTGATATTCAAATCAATGAACTTTCTTGTGGTGCATATATCATCTAAAACTTGTTGATCATAGCTTTGTATAAGAATTAGCGTCATTTATTTTGTACTTTCATATGGTCTAGTTTGAAGTTGCTAGTATTTTTTTCATGACACTATCTTAACCTATCGTGCGTTAAGGCTGAAACTTCCACAAAGATCCTTTTTCTGATGAGGGAGTGGAAGTATTCACTTGGATAATGCATTGTCAATTGTTTCAGTGCGATGTCAATGAAAAGGAGCTTTCTGCACTTAAGGCTGTGATTAAGTGCGTCGAGGAGCACAAGCTTGAGGACCTTTACCGTCTGGATGGTCTCCAAAAAAGGGTCGTGCAGCTGGAGAAGGCAAAGGCAGATAAGAAAAGAGCCACAGAAGTTGCAAAACCTCAATCCAAAAGGCCTCGTGCTAATGGTGCTGGATATGGGCCACGAGTTGCTAATGTTGCCGCCGACAAGAACTCCTATGCTAGGATGACTGATAGGTACCCACAGTACATCTATGACAGACCATACTGTTACTCTGGACCAACTGACAACCACGTCGCCCCAGTTCTGGTACTGCTGCTTACAGCCTCCCCATAGTCATGGCAACTTCTTCGGAGCTGGATACCAGTACCAGGTGGCTCCGTACCTGCACTAATCAGTAGGAAAGATGAAAACGTTGATCGTGATCCTTTTAACTGTTAGTGTTAACCCTTTCTGTCTGTTGTACTGCACCACGTGAGCAAGTTTAATATTGGAAAAAAAAAAAAAAAAAAACTCAACCTGGTTAATTTTAATCTGTTGTAAAATCTGATACTTTAATCCTCTAATATATGCACTACTGTTTTCTTATTTGTGTATATGTATGCAGTAATTAGTCTATTGCTTTTCAATTTTGGTATATTTCTTTCCACCTTGTTGTTCCGGTTTGATGCTTACACAAGCAAGGTCTACAGAAGTTGGCGGTTGTTTCCCTTTTCTTAGGTTGGTTGAATCCTTAGATGATGACCTTGTCTTGTCCTTCTGGTGTTGTTTTACTCCGCTTTCGAGCTGATGATATCAAGGACTAGTCGGAAGCTGTCATATGCTACGGCGAGCCTTCGACTATTGATTGCAATTTTTGGCTTCGACTATTGATTGCAGCACTATCACAGATCTTGAAACTGTTTCACGAAGAATGGGCTTAGGTTGAATGGAAACCTCGGAAGGGGGTCTCGATTACCATTAACTTTATGGTAGTTTCTGGCAGGCTCCGGTTACTCTATCAAAAATAGGAGGTGTAGACTGTGTAGTATTACGGTCTTGCTGAATCCCCTTGTGTTTTTCCCATTCAATAATTCAAGATCCTATTGACCACACCTTGGAATCCAAAATTATAAAAAAGGAGGACTTTGTCCAACTCCAGTGATTAATTATCATAGTACTACTGATAAAACACCTGCTTTATTATTATTATTATTTTTTTTTTTGGGCCTAAATTGGGATTTTCCAAATTCGCGGGTGCTCTGCTAACCAACAAACCCGCCCTCCCGGGCCCCGCCCCGCCAAAAACCCAAAATAAATGAATGAAGTTCTGTTCATTCAAATGGTTCATTTTGAATTCTTCTTTCCCTCCCAAATTTGACCCGAGTAATCAACGAATCATTTGCTGGACTAAAAAAATGAGAATAGCAGAGATCTCCTCGCCGGAGCTCAGACGAAGCCACGATCAAGAGTCCGGACCTCACTCTCACACACTTTCACAAATCGAGTCATCAATTAAACAACTCGAACTGCATTCTCCTTCCACCATCTTACCGGAAGCTCTCTCCTCCGACCTCCGTTCTGCCCTGACTCAGCTGACACAGCTCGCGCCCTTCCCGAACTCAGTTTGTCTCAGCATCTGGAAACTCAGCTACCGACTCTGGAATGCCTGCGTCGATCTCTCCAACGCCTTCGCCGCCAGCGGCATCAAATCCTCCGAAGAGCACGCTAAGCTCCGTCAAGTCTCCGCTGACCTCCTCTTCCTCGCAGCTGACGTCGTCGGTATTCCTTCCCCGGCATTCAAGTGCGCCTCCTTCTTCTACAAGACCGGTCTCGTTTGGCACGATCTCAACAAATTCGACCTCGCGAGTAGTTGCTTCGAAAAAGCTACGGATCTCGTGTCCAAAGTTGAAATTAGTTCAATTTCAGATTACGATGAGCGCAAGCTTGTGTTAAATCTAAATCTAGCTAGGTCCCGGACTGCTTGGGAAGTTTCTGATAGGAATTTGTCCATCATGTTACTTAGTCGGTCAAAAAATGCACTGTTTGGAATTTCAGAGAACTACAAAGCATTAGCATCTCAGTATTTGATGTTCGGAAAAGTTATTTTGTCGAAAAATGAAGTTTCTGGAGTGAATGAAGCGTTGAAATTGATGAATGAAGCACTGGAGTTGTGTGAAAAGGGGTTGAGGATTGCGAAGACAACAGAGGAGACTTTAGCACTGAAGGATTTGAGGGCAAAAGCGCTGCGCTTCATAGCCGCTGCTCATTTGCAGAGGGATGAATTTGATAATGTTCTCAAGTGCGTGAGAGTTTTGAGGGATGGTGGCGGGGACCAGCACCCAAGTTTGAGCGTGTTGGCCATGAAGGCGTGGTTGGGATTAGCAAGATATGGGGAAGCAGAGAAGGAGCTGAAAGGCATGGTAATAAATAAGGGGATTCCAGAGGGGGTTTGGGTGTCTGCAGTTGAATCATTCTTTCAGGCAGCTGGCACGGCTGGTGCCGATACCGCAAAAAGCGTGTTTTTGGGGCTATTAGGAAGGTGCCACGTCAGTGCTGGATCAGCTTTTAGAGTGGTAAACAGGGTGGTTGGAGATAGTGGAGGCGGCAGTGGGAAGGTTCAAGAGTGAGGGCAAAAGTGGCGGCAGAACTGGTGTCTGATGAGAGGGTTGTGGCACTTTTCGCTGGAGAAGAGGCATCTAAAGAGAGGACTGCGATACATGCTCTTCTTTGGAACTGGTAAAAATCCATACATTTTTCCAGCTTTATGTTTCCACATTGTAAAGTATGCAAGTTAAGTAGATGTCTAAAGTTTGATACTACTATATGATTGAAATAGCATTTTGATATAACTGCTCTCCTATTGAAGGAACATGCAAGTCCTGCCCTGTGAATTTTATCCAGTTTTTTTTTTTTTTTAATCGAGGCCACTGTGTGCATACTGAATTGGTGAGGTTTTAAAGACAAATTGATCCTCCCTCCCTACAGCCAGCTTCCTGTTTTTGTTGCTTATCATAAGCTTCATTCATTCATCAATACTCCAATTCTGAAGAACACTCATATTACATGGCACTGCCCAAAGATGGTATGAGTTTTTGTTGTTGCACTTGCACCCTTGGCACTTGATGACAGGAGGCACAGCTTCATTGAACAACTGAACAATTTTGAGATGGTGACAACTTGTGGATTTCACTCTATCAATTAGATTTTTTAACCTTTTTTTTCTTTCTCTTTCCTGAAATTGCTTTGCAGTGCTGCAGAACATTTTCGATCCAAAGATTTTCAGATCAGTGCTGAGCTGTTTGAAAAGTCTATGCTCTATGTCCCTTATGACTTAGGGAACAGAATGCTCAGAGCAAAGGGCTTTAGAGTTCTCTGTCTCTGTCACTTAGGCCTTTCACAACTAGATCAAGCTGAAGAGTACATTACTGAAGCAGAAAAGGTCTATACATATTTGGATATGATTCACCAAATTCAGAAAATCTCTGTGTTGTGTAGCTCAATATCCTAACGTCTATCTAATTTTGCAGCTTCAACCTGATATAGCTAGTGCCTTCCTTAAGGTGTGAGATCTCTTCCCTAAAAGAGCAGAAGATTAGGTTAATCTTCTTGTGATGTTAATATTTTCTTACAGCATTCATATGCTTCTCATTTTGCAGTTTAAAATTTACCTGCAAAGGAAGGATCACTGTAATGCAATAGCTCAGGTGCAAGCGATGACAAGCTGTCTTGACTTCAGTCCTGATTTCCTCTCACTTTCGGCACATGAAGCTGTTGCCTGCCAATCTCTTCCTGTTGCAGTTGCTTCTTTGTCCCATCTCCTAAACTTCTACTCCTTAGGAAAGCCAATGCCAGCCATGGAAGTTGTAGTTTTTCGGACCTTAGTAACAATTCTTACAAAGAGACTGGCCATGCATCTGATATTCTACAATACATTAAACGCGCTCTTGATAGGGTATCTGAGATTGGAGCTGACTGCTTTTTTGGAATAGGTGAGGTTGGAAAACGGGAAAAGAATTGGTTTGCAGTGAATGCGTGGAATTTTGGGGTGCAAATAGGGAAAGAAAAAAGTTACGGAATATCAGCACAGTTTTTCAGATTGGCATCAGAGTTCTATAGCATCAAATTTGATGCAGACATAGAGGATTACAACTTAATGGTCTGTAAATCATTGATATTGTGTGTTCTGCAATTATTGCTGATGAAAAGCAGACAAATAGCACGCTGCTAGAAACTGAAGTTAAAGCAGCCATTGAACTGTCAGATAGAGCTGGAAAGGTAACCAAACACATAATCAATCATCATTCATGGCTTCAAATTTACCAGTAAAACTTTAACTTCTGATCAGAGATCAGAAGTTTGCTGTCAAATTAAGTTAAAGTTCGCTCTGGAGGAGCATGGTTGTGAAAGTTGTATTCACCGGTACCAAATGTTTGATTGTAACAAAGTGTTTATTTGTTAATTGCAGATTTTATTATCAAGCTCGGCAATCTCTTTGCAAGATGAACATAAAGAAACCAGCACAGAGTCTGACTTCATTTTTGCACACTTGGAGTGCCTACGATCTATATTCAAGGCTAAGTGACATGGGACAAAAGCAGATGCTTTTGATAAAAAGCTTTGCTAGTTCTAAATCTTGCAATCCTTTGCATCTTCTTCAGATCGGTCTTGATGCCTCACAGGGACCACGATCCAACCCTGAAGTAGCTGGTTTTGCCCTGAATTCTTGCCTTTCTGCTCTCCTTGCTTCCCCTTCTCCTGATTACCAATATGTGGCTTTAATTCTGAGGAAATTAATTTCTGTAAGCACTATTTTTAAGGGTGATACAGATGATGCAGTAATTAGCATATACAAACAAGCATACCGAATAATGGTGGGTTTGAAGGAAGGGGAGTATCCCACTGAAGAGGCAAAATGGCTTTCCATGACAGCATGGAACCGAGCAGCACTTCCTCTGAGGTTGGGACAGACTGAAGTGGCACAGAAGTGGATGAATATTGGGTTGGAATTGGCGAAGAAGGTTCCAGGTATGCAAACTTATAGTCCTGCATGGAAGATTTTGTTTCTGGCTATGAGAAGAAATTCCTTGAACTCGGAAATGGTGAAAACAGGCCAATAATGGTGTCGTGACGTTAGATTTTCTTTGTGGACAGTTGATTAATAGTAACCAATTTAGTCTTTTTACTTCCAGCATAGAATAGCTTGTATATAATTCAAATTTTTGTTTATCTCCCTTGCATATTGTTCAGAAATGTACCTGCAATGTCTTCAAGGTTCTTGTTTCTCTATTACGGGAAGACAGGGTTGTTTGCTAGTATTTCCATTTGTAGCTGCTATATTTCCCCAGCAAAGCCTTAATTGGTTAGTGAACAACTGGATATATCACTCAACTTCCATTACCACATTCTAGTGTATCTGTTGGCAACAGTTTGATTTGATTTAACTTCGACAGATCGTTGTCATTATACCATATAATCTCTATAATAATGTTATAAAATTAGGTAGAATTTTTTCCTTTTCTATGACAAGAAGAAAAGATAATTATCAGGAAAAATGCAAACGCCCGTATAATATACTATTGATCATAGAAATTCGAATTAAACATATTTTCTATTCTGTAACACAGTGGTTGCATATGACCAAGATCAAGACTGGGACAGCGTATCATACCAAGCTGTTTATATTAATTGTTTAATATTATGAAGACAAGCAACACTCAAAAGATAACAACATCAGTAATACAAAAAAAAAAAATTCCTATGGTACTTGTGTTCATAAATTCCATGTTGCACACATACTTCCAAACAGCACTACATGATCATCGAAGTGTCTAGCTTGGCAATTAGGATTCCTTTTCCATAACTGCCTTCGATCATTCTCTTATCTTGAGAAAACAATTGGTCGCTACTCTGTGATAGTAATAAATTGAAAAAATCCAGAAGTAGGCTTCCCTCTATGGATCAAACCAAACTCTGCACTCTCTTCAGAAATTTATGGAATGCCACAAGTTGAAGCAACCGCTCAGAAAAAACTACCCAAGCAATGACGAAGTTTCAGCATTTAAGTCAGTGAGCTTTGCATCATATTTCTGGCTTTGATGGTGTTGGGGATGATGGTGGTTTCAAATCTGGATACTGCATGCATGTAAACTGTTAGTCACTTACGTGAGAGAAAAATGACTAACGCCAACAAAAGCATGCATGTATAAAATAGAAATGACTAATCTGCTGTATCAAAACAACTCAAGTTAAACTCTTAACCTAACAAATCAAAGCTAATTGCATGGCAGAGCCATCATCAAATGGAATCCAAAAGTTAACCAGAAAAGACAAACAAGCTCAAAGAACCTAGCTTTTGGATCAATCTTGAATTCTGTATAAGATGCCTTGACCAAAATGTTACTTGCCATTCCACAGAAAGAAGGAAACATATGGGCAGAGTGGGATGGCTAAAGGAACAAAAAGAAGCATAAAGACTAATGAAAAAAGGAAACCAAAAGAGCCTGTCTGATACAGACAAAGAAGGAAGGGCGGGGATGAAAAGGATTAAAGAAGGATGACTTCAACTCACTGTTTGGTTGAAAGGATTAAGAAGGAGCTGCAAAAGAGGATAACATTCCTAATCCTTCCATCACAGGATTTTCGAAGCGTTGGAGCTGTCTGACCCATACACCATCAAAGAAATTAACAATTACAAAGGAAAAACATTTGAAATGTTTAAAAACCTCCTTTTCTCACCCATAAACAAACCAGGAGACAGAGTAATTCATTCCCAGGTACAAGGATCTGAACAGATTTTAGCTCAAAATTCTATTTTTCTTGACAATTAATACCAGTTCCTCAAGCCGCAACCCTTTCCTGGCCAGCACAAGAAACAAACCCCAGAAAATAGAATGGCACAAACTGAACAAGTATATGCACCATACCTGGATTTGCATACCAGCAACGGCATCACAGATAACCAAATAACAAAAGTAGAGGTTGGACACATTTTCGCGTGCACATACAGAGAGAGAGAGAGAGAGAGAGAGTATACATTTGGGTATGGTGATGATGATCTAGGGCCACATTTTGTCCCAGAGGTCAGTTCAGAAGAACTGATTACAGACTCATCGCTGATCTTTTCAGGTTCGTTGGCAAGCAGACCGGTAACAGATGATGAGCTACCTTCAGTTTGGCTGTTTACTCCACCATTACCACTAGGTTGCTGTGAAACTTTGGCCTTCTTCTTGGGGTAGATGTGCACAGATGGAGGGAGCAGAGTTTCTTGTATCTCCTGCAGGAAACTCAACATGTAAACTAGCTATAGAATAATGTTAAACTACTTTTAAGGGCACACCCAATGTGTGTGCAGTTTAGAAATAATTATTAATTTTTATGAATATATTAATCTTGTTTTTACAAAATTAAATTTTATATAAATTCTTCATAAAAATATTGCAATTTTTATTAGCATTTTTTTCTTTAGTGCAGTTATAGTTAATTTGGTAGTTACAATATTTAAGGGAGCTATGGGAGATTATATTAGCATGTGATTGGGTGGTTATGGTAAAAATTAATATTTTTAAGGGCAAAACTGGAAGTTCAAAAAATGACACAAAATGTTTAACCCAATTGCCACCTCTCTTCCTTGTATAGATACTTAAATGCAGTTTTCCAAATTCAGAAGCAACATTCAATTTCTAGACCAAAAAGCTGCATATCATGCAGGCTTCCATCTAAGTATTCCGGTAATGCAAGACCAGCCTGAAATCCTTATGCCAACATATAACAATTAGACTCTAAAAACTACCAATAGAGTGGAAGCCGAAGTTAGATGATCTTGATGTTGATGCCAGCAGTGGGAACTCCTTAGAGGCTCATGCATTCTTACAACTTCTAGCTACTTTTGGTATCAATTCTGATTTTGACCAGGAGAGCTTATCCAAGCTAATACCTATGGTTTCTCGTCGTCGCCAGACAGCTGATCTGTGTCGTTCCCTTGGATTGTCTGACAAAATGCCAGGTTGGCTTCTTGTGAACGCTATTTGATAGTTATAAGATTTTTCTGAGTTATGGTTAGCAATTTGATTTGCTTCCAAATGAATATGAGTTTGTAGTTCAGTTTATTCTGTTTTCTTTCAGGTGTCATTGATGTTTTGGTGAAAAATGGGAGACAAATTGATGCTGTTAATCTGGCTTTTGCATTTGACCTGACAGAGCAGTTTTCACCTGTTATATTACTGAAATCTTACCTGAGCGACGCAGCAAAATTGTCTTCACCTAGTAAACTGGGAAACACATCACCTTCTGCACAGGTTTGTTTATATCCCTAATCCTCAACATCTACAAGAAGGACTATTGCTTCTGACGTGTTTTTCTGTGGCTTGCAAAAGCATTTACTCTTGACATATATTCATGTTTGGGTCTTTCCCAGGATGGTGATATTCAAATCAATGAACTTTCTTGTGGTGCATATATCATCTAAAACTTGTTGATCATAGCTTTGTATAAGAATTAGCGTCATTTATTTTGTACTTTCATATGGTCTAGTTTGAAGTTGCTAGTATTTTTTTCATGACACTATCTTAACCTATCGTGCGTTAAGGCTGAAACTTCCACAAAGATCCTTTTTCTGATGAGGGAGTGGAAGTATTCACTTGGATAATGCATTGTCAATTGTTTCAGTGCGATGTCAATGAAAAGGAGCTTTCTGCACTTAAGGCTGTGATTAAGTGCGTCGAGGAGCACAAGCTTGAGGACCTTTACCGTCTGGATGGTCTCCAAAAAAGGGTCGTGCAGCTGGAGAAGGCAAAGGCAGATAAGAAAAGAGCCACAGAAGTTGCAAAACCTCAATCCAAAAGGCCTCGTGCTAATGGTGCTGGATATGGGCCACGAGTTGCTAATGTTGCCGCCGACAAGAACTCCTATGCTAGGATGACTGATAGGTACCCACAGTACATCTATGACAGACCATACTGTTACTCTGGACCAACTGACAACCACGTCGCCCCAGTTCTGGGTACTGCTGCTTACAGCCTCCCCCATAGTCATGGCAACTTCTTCGGAGCTGGATACCAGTACCAGGTGGCTCCGTACCTGCACTAATCAGTAGGAAAGATGAAAACGTTGATCGTGATCCTTTTAACTGTTAGTGTTAACCCTTTCTGTCTGTTGTACTGCACCACGTGAGCAAGTTTAATATTGGAAAAAAAAAAAAAAAAAAAACTCAACCTGGTTAATTTTAATCTGTTGTAAAATCTGATACTTTAATCCTCTAATATATGCACTACTGTTTTCTTATTTGTGTATATGTATGCATTAATTAGTCTATTGCTTTTCAATTTTGGTATATTTCTTTCCACCTTGTTGTTCCGGTTTGATGCTTACACAAGCAAGGTCTACAGAAGTTGGCGGTTGTTTCCCTTTTCTTAGGTTGGTTGAATCCTTAGATGATGACCTTGTCTTGTCCTTCTGGTGTTGTTTTACTCCGCTTTCGAGCTGATGATATCAAGGACTAGTCGGAAGCTGTCATATGCTACGGCGAGCCTTCGACTATTGATTGCAATTTTTGGCTTCGACTATTGATTGCAGCAGCACTATCACAGATCTTGAAACTGTTTCACGAAGAATCGGCTTAGGTTGAATGGAAACCTCGGAAGGGGGTCTCGATTACCATTAACTTTATGGTAGTTTCTGGCAGGCTCCGGTTACTCTATCAAAAATAGGAGGTGTAGACTGTGTAGTATTACGGTCTTGCTGAATCCCCTTGTGTTTTTCCCATTCAATAATTCAAGATCCTATTGACCACACCTTGGAATCCAAAATTATAAAAAAGGAGGACTTTGTACAACTCCAGTGATTAATTATCATAGTACTACTGATAAAACACCTGCTTTATTATTATTATTATTATTTTTTTTTTGGGCCTAAATTGGGATTTTCCAAATTCGCGGGTGCTCTGCTAACCAACAAACCCCAGCCCTCCGGGCCCCGCCGCCAAAAACCCAATAATAAAATGACATAATTCTGTTCATTCAAAATGGTTCATTTCGAATTCTTCTTCCCTCCCAAACTTGACCAGAAGTAATCAACAATCATTGCTGCGACTAAAAAAATGAGAATAGCGAGATCTCCTCGCCGACCAGCACGAATGACCACGATCACAGTCCGGACCTCATCTCCACACACTTTCAACAAATCGAGTGATGTCAATTAAACAACTCGAAACTGCATTCTCCTTCCACCATCTATACCGGAAGCTCTCTCCTCCGACCTCCGTTCTGCCCTGACTCAGCTGACCACAGCTCCGCCCCTTCCCGAACTCAGTTTGTCTCAGCATCTGAAACCTCAGCTACCGACTCTGGAATGCCTGCGTCGATCTCTCAACCCTTTCCGCGCCAGCGGCGCATCAAATCCTCCGAAGAGCACGCTAAGCTCCGTCAAGTCTCCGCTGACCTTCTCTTCCTCGCAGCTGACGTCGTCGGTATTCCTTCCCCGGCATTCAAGTGCGCCTCTCTTCTACAAGACCGGTCTCGTTTGGCACGATCTCAACAAATTCGACCTCGCGAGTAGTTGCTTCGAAAAAGCTACGGATCTCGTGTCCAAAGTTGAAATTAGTTCAATTTCAGATTACGATGAGCGCAAGCTTGTGTTAAATCTAAATCTAGCTAGGTCCCGGACTGCTTGGGAAGTTTCTGATAGGAATTTGTCCATCATGTTACTTAGTCGGTCAAAAAATGCACTGTTTGGAATTTCAGAGAACTACAAAGCATTAGCATCTCAGTATTTGATGTTCGGAAAAGTTATTTTGTCGAAAAATGAAGTTTCTGGAGTGAATGAAGCGTTGAAATTGATGAATGAAGCACTGGAGTTGTGTGAAAAGGGGTTGAGGATTGCGAAGACAACAGAGGAGACTTTAGCACTGAAGGATTTGAGGGCAAAAGCGCTGCGCTTCATAGCCGCTGCTCATTTGCAGAGGGATGAATTTGATAATGTTCTCAAGTGCGTGAGAGTTTTGAGGGATGGTGGCGGGGACCAGCACCCAAGTTTGAGCGTGTTGGCCATGAAGGCGTGGTTGGGATTAGCAAGATATGGGGAAGCAGAGAAGGAGCTGAAAGGCATGGTAATAAATAAGGGGATTCCAGAGGGGGTTTGGGTGTCTGCAGTTGAATCATTCTTTCAGGCAGCTGGCACGGCTGGTGCCGATACCGCAAAAAGCGTGTTTTTGGGGCTATTAGGAAGGTGCCACGTCAGTGCTGGATCAGCTTTTAGAGTGGTAAACAGGGTGGTTGGAGATAGTGGAGGCGGCAGTGGGGAAGGTTCAAGAGTGAGGGCAAAAGTGGCGGCAGAACTGGTGTCTGATGAGAGGGTTGTGGCACTTTTCGCTGGAGAAGAGGCATCTAAAGAGAGGACTGCGATACATGCTCTTCTTTGGAACTGGTAAAAATCCATACATTTTTCCAGCTTTATGTTTCCACATTGTAAAGTATGCAAGTTAAGTAGATGTCTAAAGTTTGATACTACTATATGATTGAAATAGCATTTTGATATAACTGCTCTCCTATTGAAGGAACATGCAAGTCCTGCCCTGTGAATTTTATCCAGTTTTTTTTTTTTTTTAATCGAGGCCACTGTGTGCATACTGAATTGGTGAGGTTTTAAAGACAAATTGATCCTCCCTCCCTACAGCCAGCTTCCTGTTTTTGTTGCTTATCATAAGCTTCATTCATTCATCAATACTCCAATTCTGAAGAACACTCATATTACATGGCACTGCCCAAAGATGGTATGAGTTTTTGTTGTTGCACTTGCACCCTTGGCACTTGATGACAGGAGGCACAGCTTCATTGAACAACTGAACAATTTTGAGATGGTGACAACTTGTGGATTTCACTCTATCAATTAGATTTTTTAACCTTTTTTTTCTTTCTCTTTCCTGAAATTGCTTTGCAGTGCTGCAGAACATTTTCGATCCAAAGATTTTCAGATCAGTGCTGAGCTGTTTGAAAAGTCTATGCTCTATGTCCCTTATGACTTAGGGAACAGAATGCTCAGAGCAAAGGGCTTTAGAGTTCTCTGTCTCTGTCACTTAGGCCTTTCACAACTAGATCAAGCTGAAGAGTACATTACTGAAGCAGAAAAGGTCTATACATATTTGGATATGATTCACCAAATTCAGAAAATCTCTGTGTTGTGTAGCTCAATATCCTAACGTCTATCTAATTTTGCAGCTTCAACCTGATATAGCTAGTGCCTTCCTTAAGGTGTGAGATCTCTTCCCTAAAAGAGCAGAAGATTAGGTTAATCTTCTTGTGATGTTAATATTTTCTTACAGCATTCATATGCTTCTCATTTTGCAGTTTAAAATTTACCTGCAAAGGAAGGATCACTGTAATGCAATAGCTCAGGTGCAAGCGATGACAAGCTGTCTTGACTTCAGTCCTGATTTCCTCTCACTTTCGGCACATGAAGCTGTTGCCTGCCAATCTCTTCCTGTTGCAGTTGCTTCTTTGTCCCATCTCCTAAACTTCTACTCCTTAGGAAAGCCAATGCCAGCCATGGAAGTTGTAGTTTTTCGGACCTTAGTAACAATTCTTACAAAAGAGACTGGCCATGCATCTGATATTCTACAATACATTAAACGCGCTCTTGATAGGGTATCTGAGATTGGAGCTGACTGCTTTTTTGGAATAGGTGAGGTTGGAAAACGGGAAAAGAATTGGTTTGCAGTGAATGCGTGGAATTTTGGGGTGCAAATAGGGAAAGAAAAAAGTTACGGAATATCAGCACAGTTTTTCAGATTGGCATCAGAGTTCTATAGCATCAAATTTGATGCAGACATAGAGGATTACAACTTAATGGTCTGTAAATCATTGATATTGTGTGTTTCTGCAATTATTGCTGATGAAAAGCAGACAAATAGCACGCTGCTAGAAACTGAAGTTAAAGCAGCCATTGAACTGTCAGATAGAGCTGGAAAGGTAACCAAACACATAATCAATCATCATTCATGGCTTCAAATTTACCAGTAAAACTTTAACTTCTGATCAGAGATCAGAAGTTTGCTGTCAAATTAAGTTAAAGTTCGCTCTGGAGGAGCATGGTTGTGAAAGTTGTATTCACCGGTACCAAATGTTTGATTGTAACAAAGTGTTTATTTGTTAATTGCAGATTTTATTATCAAGCTCGGCAATCTCTTTGCAAGATGAACATAAAGAAACCAGCACAGAGTCTGACTTCATTTTTATGCACACTTGGAGTGCCTACGATCTATATTCAAGGCTAAGTGACATGGGACAAAAGCAGATGCTTTTGATAAAAAGCTTTGCTAGTTCTAAATCTTGCAATCCTTTGCATCTTCTTCAGATCGGTCTTGATGCCTCACAGGGACCACGATCCAACCCTGAAGTAGCTGGTTTTGCCCTGAATTCTTGCCTTTCTGCTCTCCTTGCTTCCCCTTCTCCTGATTACCAATATGTGGCTTTAATTCTGAGGAAATTAATTTCTGTAAGCACTATTTTTAAGGGTGATACAGATGATGCAGTAATTAGCATATACAAACAAGCATACCGAATAATGGTGGGTTTGAAGGAAGGGGAGTATCCCACTGAAGAGGCAAAATGGCTTTCCATGACAGCATGGAACCGAGCAGCACTTCCTCTGAGGTTGGGACAGACTGAAGTGGCACAGAAGTGGATGAATATTGGGTTGGAATTGGCGAAGAAGGTTCCAGGTATGCAAACTTATAGGTCCTGCATGGAAGATTTTGTTTCTGGCTATGAGAAGAAATTCCTTGAACTCGGAAATGGTGAAAACAGGCCAATAATGGTGTCGTGACGTTAGATTTTCTTTGTGGACAGTTGATTAATAGTAACCAATTTAGTCTTTTACTTCCAGCATAGAATAGCTTGTATATAATTCAAATTTTTGTTTATCTCCCTTGCATATTGTTCAGAAATGTACCTGCAATGTCTTCAAGGTTCTTGTTTCTCTATTACGGGAAGACAGGGTTTGTTTGCTAGTATTTCCATTTGTAGCTGCTATATTTCCCCAGCAAAGCCTTAATTGGTTAGTGAACAACTGGATATATCACTCAACCTTCCATTACCACATTCTAGTGTATCTGTTGGCAACAGTTTGATTTGATTTAACTTCGACAGATCGTTGTCATTATACCATATAATCTCTATAATAATGTTATAAAATTAGGTAGAATTTTTTCCTTTTCTATGACAAGAAGAAAAGATAATTATCAGGAAAAATGCAAACGCCCGTATAATATACTATTGATCATAGAAATTCGAATTAAACATATTTTCTATTCTGTAACACAGTGGTTGCATATGACCAAGATCAAGACTGGGACAGCGTATCATACCAAGCTGTTTATATTAATTGTTTAATATTATGAAGACAAGCAACACTCAAAAGATAACAACATCAGTAATACCAAAAACAAAAAAAATTCCTACCTGGTACTTGTGTTCATAAATTCCATGTTGCACACATACTTCCAAACAGCACTACATGATCATCGAAGTGTCTAGCTTGGCAATTAGGATTCCTTTTCCAATAACTGCCTTCGATCATTCTCTTATCTTGAGAAAACAATTGGTCGCTACTCTGTGATAGTAATAAAATTGAAAAAATCCAGAAGTAGGCTTCCCTCTATGGATCAAACCAAACTCTGCACTCTCTTCAGAAATTTATGGAATGCCACAAGTTGAAGCAACCGCTCAGAAAAAACTACCCAAGCAATGACGAAGTTTCAGCATTTAAGTCAGTGAGGCTTTGCATCATATTTCTGGCTTTGATGGTGTTGGGGATGATGGTGGTTTCAAATCTGGATACTGCATGCATGTAAACTGTTAGTCACTTACGTGAGAGAAAATGACTAACGCAACAAAAGCATGCATGTATAAAATAGAAATGACTAATCTGCTGTATCAAAACAACTCAAGTTAAACTCTTAACCTAACAAATCAAAGCTAATTGCATGGCAGAGCCATCATCAAATGGAATCCAAAAGTTAACCAGAAAAGACAAACAAGCTCAAAGAACCTAGCTTTTGGATCAATCTTGAATTCTGTATAAGATGCCTTGACCAAAATGTTACTTGCCATTCCACAGAAAGAAGGAAACATATGGGCAGAGTGGGGATGGCTAAAGGAACAAAAAGAAGGCATAAAGACTAATGAGAAAAAGGAAACCAAAAGAGCCTGTCTGATACAGACAAAGAAGGGAAGGGCGGGGATGAAAAGGATTAAAGAAGGGATGGGACTTCAACTCACTGTTTGGTTGAAAGGATTAAGAAGGAGCTGCAAAAGAGGATAACATTCCTAATCCTTCCATCACAGGATTTTCGAAGCGTTGGAGCTGTCTGACCCATACACCATCAAAGAAATTAACAATTACAAAGGAAAAACATTTGAAACGTTTAAAAAACCTCCTTTTCTCACCGATAAACAAACCAGGAGACAGAGTAATTCATTCCCAGGTACAAGGATCTGAACAGATTTTAGCTCAAAATTCTATTTTTCTTGACAATTAATACCAGTTCCTCAAGCCGCAACCCTTTCCTGGCCAGCACAAGAAACAAACCCCAGAAAATAGAATGGCACAAACTGAACAAGTGTATGCACTCATACCTGGATTTGCATACCAGCAACGGCATCACAGATAACCAAATAACAAAAGTAGAGGTTGCACACGTTTTCGCGTGCACATACAGAGAGAGAGAGAGAGAGAGAGAGTTCATACATTTGGGTATGGAGATGATGATCTAGGGCCACATTTTGTCCCAGAGGTCAGTTCAGAAGAACTGATTACAGACTCATCGCTGATCTTTTCAGGTTCGTTGGCAAGCAGACCGGTAACAGATGATGAGCTACCTTCAGTTTGGCTGTTTACTCCACCATTACCACTAGGTTGCTGTGAAACTTTGGCCTTCTTCTTGGGGTAGATGTGCACAGATGGAGGGAGCAGAGTTTCTTGTATCTCCTGCAGGAAACTCAACATGTAAACTAGCTATAGAATAATGTTAAACTACTTTTAAGGGCACACCCAATGTGTGTGCAGTTTAGAAATAATTATTAATTTTTATGAATATATTAATCTTGTTTTTACAAAATTAAATTTTATATAAATTCTTCATAAAACTATTGCAATTTTTATTAGCATTTTTTTCTTTAATGCAGTTATAGTTAATTTGGTAGTTACAATATTTAAGGGAGCTATGGGAGATTATATTAGCATATGTGATTGGGTGGTTAAGGTAAAAATTAATATTTTTAAGGGCAAAACTGGAAGTTCAAAAAATGACACAAAATGTTTAACCCAATTGCCACCTCTCTTCCTTGTATAGATACTTATATGCAGTTTTCCAAATTCAGAAGCAACATTCAATTTCTAGACCAAAAAGCTGCATATCATGCAGGCTTCCATCTAAGTATTCCGGTAATGCAAGACCAGCCTGAAATCCTTATGCCAACATATAACAATTAGACTCTAAAAACTACCAATTGAAGTCCCATTTCATCACTTCCAACTTTTTCTTCTGTCACTACCACATATACGAGGAATATAACAGGCATTTTTCTCATATGCTAAATAAGTACATAACAGAATAGTAAGGAACAACCGTTATTGGAATAGTATGCATACTATGGTGGAGCAAAATCACACTTGATCTCATTCAAAATATGTCAAAGTAAGTAGATAAAAGTACCTGCCATCCTTTGTTGCCTCTAATTCCACCTCTTATTGCATAAGCTTCCTTAAGTCCATTTTTGGCTAATAACTCAGCCACTTTCATGGAGTTACCATCAAAACTACCTTCCACACAAAAGAGAGTAAAACAGATACTGGTCAAATGCTTTAGCACAACTCTGTATATATTATTATCTGCTAAGTGGCAGGAATAAGACCCATTTACCGAGACTGCAATATTAATTATTCTCGAGGATCATGGAATGTATGAGCAAGGGAAAGGTTGAACAGGCAAAATATATCAGGGTTTGGACTGTCTGGAGTTTCAAATAGAAGCAAAAGAGAAACACGAAATGGATATTCTATAACTTGGATAGTGGGTTAACAAATTGAGCAGCACAAAAACAAGGAGAATACAATAAAGAAAGAGGAAAAATGCTTCGTCAAGGGCAATTTTTACCTCTAACCTTTTCTTATCCATTACGAATGTTTTAACTACCTTTGACTAGATGAACAGAACTAGTCGGGATAATTGTCTCCATTAGTAACAGAACTAACTTAAGAAACCTAAGATATGTGCAGAATATGACATTAGTTATTTTTTGTGTCTGCAATTTAGTCGATTTTCATATGATCAAACAATGATATCTCTAACAGCCTGTAGGGGCATTTTTTTCATCTTTATTCATCATTGGATTGGGAAAGGGTAAAACGAAGAAGATGGGGCATCTGCTTACATAAATATTCATCATAGAGTATCCCCTTTTTTGTTCTTGGTTGCAAGAAACAGAATGAACCAAGCTACGCAGAACAAGATCTTACACATCTCTTCCACTATAATTGGAGGTTTTAGCCAAACATGCTAAAATCATGACTCAATCAGTTTGTTTGTTAAAAGGAAATCTCAACAATTTAGTATTGTCGTAATTGCCGTCTTGAATAAAGCAGCACTGATTCACTACAATACCTCAAAACGTCTATGATATTTACGACATAGATTTCAGATAACTCAAGAAGAGCTCCACAGTAAAAGTTGCCAAAACTTACTTGTCCAGAACACAAACAGTGGTTTTATCTGGCTCCTTAAATTTTTCCAAAACTTCCCTCAAAAAACCTTCTTCATCTCCTTCGGAAAACGCCACGTGCAGCACACTCTTATTTAAAATCTTCAAATTAGGTGAATTCAGGAAATTCAAACTCTTCTCATCCCTGATATCCAACAGCTGATAATTGGGGTCATCCCGGAGTTTCCTGAAAGCATCAATGGCAGAGATAAACTTATACTTCCGAAAATATTCTTGGCCCAATGGGACTACAACAAGCCAAATAAAGACAACCCCAGCAACAAAGAATGGATTTTTATTGAAGAAATCATCCACTGAAACCACAACAGCTTCCAAGTTAATTTTGTTAGAGACTTCTTGAGTTGTTGGTACAGCAGCTTCAGAAGCAAAACAAGAAAGAGGGAAAAAGAATCCCATTGATAGAAAGGAAACATGGGATTTAAGAAGCATGGCATCCAAATGAAACCTTAACATATCCCCATTACAAAGAGTGGTTAAAGTTTTGGTTAGCTTACAATTCCGAAATTCAGTCTGGGGTACTTGACGAGGTGCTTTAGTGGGAGGGGAAACAGTTTGCATAAAATGGCGGGACTGAGAAGTTGAATTGGGGATTCGAAGAATCGGTTTGGAAGTAAAAGTTTGGATATTGGGGTAGTTTAATGAAGGCGGAGAAGTTGAGAGTCCTACGGATAAAGTCTCCATTTTGTCAAAAAGCAGCCGAGAGAGGAGGGGAGGAAAGACGCTAAGACGATAAGAAGGAAGGAGAGAGACATACGATGGCGCCTTTTACCTATTTACGCAAAGGCACTTTCATTTTCGAGGACTTCAGAAGCAAATACTAAGAAAATCGATAACGGCGTCGTTTGGAAGGAGCATACTCTCCGAATATAAAAGCCAATTCGGAAGAACCTTCTCAGCAGATTTCTAGCACTTGTCTGATGGCGACTCTATCAAATCAGGGAAAAATCGATATATCTTGTTGGGATGGAACTATTTCGCAGCATGAATTCCACACAGCCGCGAGTGCTTTTGCTGAGCGATGGAACAAATTCAACGCTGCCCTTCCCCAGTGTTCATGGGTTGCTCGTCCAAAATCACCTTACCTATCTTCCACCTCTAAGGTCTCACACCAATTCCGGAGCTTTTCTTGTTTTCCTTTTCTTTTTCTTTTTATTTGTGTCCATTACCATGCAAATAATTGTGTATTCTATCCTGAATTCTTGTTTAGGATGAGGGTTACTTATCAGTAGAAAATGTCATTATGTTCCCAACACCTGCTGCGGTATACTTCGCTTTATTTGCACTTGAGTAAATTTTGATGCTTTTCACAGACTTATTAAAAGCATTTCCTTAATCGTAACAGTACCGGCATTATGTATACTTTCGTTGTTCTTTTATTATTCCTCTGGTAGGAGTCTTGTTACGGAGGAGATGACAAAGAGGGAGAAGAGGAACTTAGTTGCTCCCGCTCCCAAGAGGATGACTTCATTGATGGTGCCACCATGGTATGCACATAGACCTTGTTGGTAAAACTGAATGTTTCTCTGTTTTTCTTTTTTTAATATTTTGGGCTCTGATCTTTTTAGAGAAAAAATGTCTTTGGGTTTAAGTTTTGCTCATAATTCATAATTTCACAGTGCATTGTTGCTCATAGATAGCATGTTTGTGTTGGATCTTCTATTCCCTTTTTGTTGATTTTTCCGGCTGTAAGCTGTAATGAGGGTGTAAAAGAAGGATGTTCATTGACCTGTTTACAGAGTTTGCTCCACTCAACACTTAATTCTCATTTTAAAAGTAAATATTAGCACTATTTCCAGCTGAATATTGTTATCTCCTCTTGGAGATGATATTTTACAATACTACTTTCCTCATTAACATTATGCGGTTTTTACATTAGTTATTTTGTGGTATCTTTGGCATTCCGTAACAAATGGTCCAAAAACTTCAGTTACACTCTATAAACTAGGAAGATCTTGTTGTTTGTTCAGTGATTTCAATTTTCGTTGTCATGACTATTCCGTAATTATCAAACATGATGTGGCAAAGGGTTATTTGCAATAAATTGCTAGATTATTCAAATTAAAGAAATTTGATGCTTTAAATAGGGTTCCATAAGAATAGAAGAAGATTTCAACTTTAGAGTCAATATTGAAGAAGTTGACTTCTCCTTTTGCTTTCGCATTACTTTTCTTCTTCTTCTTTTGCTACTCACACTAATATGCTCAAACACATCAGGCATCATCTGGCACAATCTTTCCAAAGCATATGAAGATTCAAGTATGCATCTTGACAGCTGCTTTAACCTTATAAACAATGACAATTGAACCACAACACACTTTCACTGCTCGAAAACTTTTCCACCTATAAACATTCTTTTCATCCTTATTCTTGATTTGGATCAGGTGGTATATGGCAATGGCACCTAAAGTATGTTTCCTGTAAATTCAACATATGATCCTAACCTCGTATTCTTCACAACCATCAAATCCAATGAAAGGTCCAAAGTTTTCCCAGCTGTTCTAAACAAAATAGTGTGTCAATAATCACTCAGTTATTGGGATTAGTTATCGTGGATTTGTGGTGCACCACATGGATGTAATGTGTGTTTGATTGTGCCTATGAGAGCGTTGTGGGAATTGCAAAAGAAGAAGCAGGAGAAATGTAAATAGCCAAGGGGATAAAGGAGAATAGATTTCTTGGAAATCGACATTCGTGGTCAAACTTCAAAGTCAATAAGTCAAATTTTATATTTATGGAAATAGAATAAAATTATCAAATTTTTTTTTTAATTTGAACTCAAATGGCATTACTGGTGTAAATAACCCATGCGGTAAACGTGCTTCTTTTTTTCATATAGCTTGAGGAATTGGTTCAAGTGTTTCTCAGCTTCATTGAAGGAACAGTGAGGGATGTATCATTTGTGCTGTTCACATTCATTTACTTTATTGTTTTGTGCACTAAACTTTTCATTTCAACGTGCTTCTTATTTACATATAGCTTGAGGAATTGGTTCAAGTGTTTCTCAGCTTCATTGAAGGAGCAGCGAGGACTGCCACTTCTACAAAAGATGTATCATTTGTGCTGTTCGCATTCATTTACTTTATTGTTTGTGCACTAAAATTTTCATTTCAACTCCGTCAGTTGCAAAATCATGATGACGCAAGCCATCACTATGACTTCCACGTTGTCTACAATGCTTCATATAGAGTTCCAGTGCTATACTTCCGTGCCTACTGCAGTGGTTAGTTCATTCTTACAAATTTTGAGCTACAAACAAGTTCAGAAACTTTTGAGTTTTTAGGATCTTAAGGATTGTCTTTGGGCATGTAGATGGACGAACACTGGTCTTAGATGATGTTGAGAAGAGCATTCCTGCTATCTCTGCCAAACTCCTAATGCTATCTAAATGGACATTTATTACTCAGGAGGTGATCAATCTTCTTTCTCCAATTCTTGAAGTATGAATAGTTTTATGGGAGACATGTTTTCAAGAATTATGTGTTTGATGCTTTCTAGTTTCATGTACATTCTTGGTATGAGTAGCTTCTCTCCAAATAAAGGTGAATTGAACGGAAAGAGATTCTTAAAAAAACTTCATTCTTTTGAAGACTATTCTTATATCTTCTTTGTGGTAGCTCATAATATAAGACTAAGTGCAGGATCACCCTTACTTGAATTGTCCATGGTATACATTACATCCTTGTGGAACCAGCGAGTGGATGAAGATGCTCTTTAGCCATGAACCTGCGGTGGATGATGGTGGAGTTGCAGTTGCCAAGTATCTGGTCTCATGGTTCTCCGTAGCTGGCCAAGTCTTTGGTCTTAAAATACCCTTTGAAATGCTAAGTTCCATTGGTAATTAAACGTTATATGACTAATTATCCTGTATAGCTAATCGTACAGTTTGATCTTCTTAACCAGACTACATTCCCTTTTGTTACATTTGTTCCTTTCCAACACAAAGGAAAGGCCCCAAAATGGATTTCCGCTGATTCAAGTTGTTCCAAAAATGACATGAATGCAGTGGTAGTTACATAGACATCGTTATACAATGATTACACTTCCCATCCTTGGTTTAAATTTTGAATCATAGTTTGATGTTGTCCAGCAAAAAATTACCCAATAATAGGAGCATTCAATCTTTTGCCAAGAAAAAGGTAATAAATCGATTTCCAGGGAGACAGGCCAACTGTACTGATATTGCAAAACAATGGGATTTGTCTGCGAGAATGAAGCTGCGTTCAGTGCTCCAAAAGCAGACTCGAATTTGATAATTCTAACAGATCTACTGAACTACAAGCCCCACAATGAAACACGGGAAAAAATCAACCTATGGGACCTCATGTAATTGCCTATTCCCAGACTTGTTAAGCAAGATGAGGTTGTATTGCGAATGGCAGACCCATATGAAAAATGCAGTCATGCAAGTCAATAAGGCAGAGCCCATTAGACGCTGAGTCCTCGCGTTGCTTCTCTGCTCGGAAGGATCAGAATTACACCGCGGTTCGACAAAAACAAGCTAAAAATTCTACATTACCTTCCGCACCCTTTAAGGGAGACTCAATCCAACCCTTGCAACTGAAGCCATAATCTTCCACACCCTTTATGATTTTGTCAAGCACCTGTACAAGATACGACGCAGCAACTCAGAACCAGGGCGATCAACTACTGTATTTGCTCAACAATGAGAACTTGCAAATATGAAGAAATGAAAAAGACTTCAGCCATTATTCAAAAGAAGCTAATAGACAAGTTCACAAAATGGTAGAAGAAATAAAAATAAAGGAAAATTTCAGCTCCAATTTGATTGATTGCACAATTTTATCCCTCAGTTAACACGTACCTCTTGATGCACTGCTGGATCTCTCACAATGCCACCACTTCCAACCTGAAGGACAGTTGAATCTCCAAAATCAGAAACAAATACCAAACAAGATAGACTAGCAAAACATTTGCATAAAGATGGCCGAAACTCAAATAGGGTAGGAATGATGATGCTGGACTTTACATAAATAGAGCTACCAGTAATACATAGGTAAGGGATCAAGAGATAGCAAGGCTGTAAAGTTCCTGGAAAGGGATCACGCTAACACTGATATGATCACATGAAGCTCAAATGTCTTCCATTTTCATCCAGATTTAAGATAAGAGAGGAAAAATGAACAGGACAACTCCTACCATGCAGAACCACTTCATCAAAGCTCTAGTATATATCATAGACCCCATTCATCAAATTGTGATCTATTTTTTCAATAGACACAAAATTCAATCAACTGATTCCAAAAATAATAATAATAAATAAATACAGAGACATGTATCACACAACATCAAGTAGAAACAAAATCAAGATTCGCATACTTGGGATCTACGAGCTTCAAATTGAGGTTTAATTAGAGTAACTAGAGTAGCTTCTTCCTTCATCACATTGACCACAGCAGGCATCACCTGGAGAAAGGAAACAAAATTATGAATTGAACATGTATCAAACCTGGGAAATCTATACCCAATACACAGTCAAACATCATGATTTAAGTCATGCAGCAATAGAACAAGCTTACCAAGAGTATGGATATAAACGAGAGGTCCAAAGTCACTAAATCAACCTTTTGTGGGAGTTCCGAAAGATATCTTAAATTTGTCCGCTCTATCACAGACACCCGCGCATCCTGGCGGATTTTCTCTGCTACCTAATACAAAAACAACGAACTTCAACCAATCAAACAATCAGCAAAGAGACACACCAAAAAAAAAGCTATCGCGGCATCAAACTTGGAGCCATTAGCTTATGGATAAACCTAAAAAAAGGAGAAATATAGAGGTATTTTGCACAATTTTTCATCACAGTTTACCATTCATTAATGATATAGCTTTGTAATCTTTCTATTCTACTATTCTTTCACAGAACAACAAGCCTTCATCTTGACTGGATTATTGTGATTAAGTGAAAATTGAAACTATCATATACCCACAAATCTCCTCTATTCACCCATCAATGCACAAGTCACTTTATAGTGGACTTCAGGTTTACGTCAGAGCATAACAACATGATGCAAGGAAATTTTATGTATTAGCACTCTATTCAGTAATTTCGTATATATTTTATGCATAAGACCTAGAATAGCAAAAAATCTGATTTTTAGAAAGAAAACCTGTCCATATCCAACATCTACTCCATAAACATAAGAAGCACCATACTGAAGTAAGCAATCTGTAAACCCTCCAGTAGACAATCCGGAATCAAGAGCTACTTTCCCGCTGACATCAACACCAAGTTGTTCAATGGCAGCCTCCAACTTGTGTCCAGCTCTGAATATCATGGTAAGAAAAGGTAAAATAAGTAATATGGCATTTGAAAAGTTACCACATGGTACAGAAGCAAAAAGATGCCTTGTTTGGGAGTAATCACCTACATACATATTTAGGAATTTCTGCCTTGATCACTACAACAGCTTTATCAGGGATGGGAGTTCCAGCTTTATATACAACTTTTCCATCAACAAATACTTTGCCTGTAAATGGCAAAATCAAGTGTGAGGAATAGTCAGTTGACAAGATCAAAATCTAGGTGTAAAAACGATTGCAAAATTTTGAAAACAGCCAAATTGAACAAAAGAATATTCATTGAAACCTAAGGAGAACGGAAACAAAATATCATGAGAAGAAAATGCAATTTCATAATTTACAGTAAAGCATAGAAAAGGCAGCTGAAGGAAGCAACAAACCTTGCAGGATCCATGACTGTATGAATGTCCGACTGTATTGTTGAAATCTTTCGAGACATATTTCATCCAATCTCTTTTTCCTGAAAATGGAGAAATGAAGCTATAAAGAAAAGTGTATGAAAAGGATTTTAAGACTCATACATGCATGTTTAGCAAAAATAACTTGGCTTTTCGTTTAGATAATAGTAAACAAAACCCAACACATAAAAAAGGTGTTAAGCATGAGCCTTCAGATCATTCAATTTCAGGGAATCAAGGGCATCTGTGAAGCCAAATGTCTAAGGGTGGTCCTTTCTGTTTATTACAATAATTTGTTAAGAGCTGCTTCTAGCGGCAGAAAAATCGGGGGGAGGTTTTAAGTATTTAAATTGGAAGACAACCGTATATAGAGAAGTACAAACTAGTTCTTGTTTGATCAACAAGACTTTTCAAGTTATAACATGATATTGGCAGGATTTTCATAAACAAAGATGATAGGGCGAGAGAGCGAGAGGATACTTTTTCTGTGGTTGAATCTTTCCCGACTTCACAGCAGCAAAGCCTCTGACGCGACAATGCATGTGGGCATTGGACCATTTTACTGATCCAAACAATTAGAGAAGCGCTCAGAACCAAGAGAACAAACTAACTGAAACATGAATTACAGACAACTAAAGCTATCCTCCAGAAGTCCTAGCCCCAATTATAATGTCAAAATGACACGCTATAACGAAACACTAAAATCAAGCCAAGCAGTGCCAAACGGCAGTTGGGATTCCAGAGGAAGGTCTTAACTGCGGTCCGAAACAACTAATAACAGAACACTTCCCTATACTAGTTAAGCATTGCAGAAAAGTTTGAATTTTTAAAACAATTATTGGTGAAAGACGAAATAAGTTGAAGCCAGCTTATCGCTATTGCAGAAAAATCAATAGTTATTAGAGCATAGAACATAAATCAGAAATAGCATTATTGAAAAAGACGAAGTGGGGTAGCGCAAGAGTGATTGAAAGGGGTTGGGAGGAAAGCATAAAACAAGAAAGTACCGGAGAAATGTGGAAGAGGACAGAGTAGTTTCGACGAAAAGAAAAGGCTCCTCCTTCTTAAATTAATCAAAGAACCAGAATTGAGTGATATGGGCAGCTTCAGAAATTTTTTTTGTGTAAACGGCAGCTTCAGAATATTGTGTGCCATCTTCCTTAGTACATAGCTGCTTTTGCAGACAACATCACAAAGGTTTTTGCATTTCTTGAGGAGGCGCTGGGGTAGTCGTGGGCCTGTTTGCGGGCGGAGGGAGCTTGGAGGAAAAAGGGTAAGGAATAGGGAAGACAAATTCTTCGGATAGGGTCTAGCGGGGTAGCTCAAGACAATTGGTTGCCCTCGCGTTCGGCTGGCGAGTCATGTTGCTGGGCTTGGCACGATTTCGGTTCAAACTCAGCTACTTGGAAGAACTGCTATATGGAGAAATCGGCTAAGCGTCGTGAGATTGAAACGATTTCAAGGGAAACAAATTTGCGGCTACGCTCTAGTTTCTTGCTTTCTAATTTGTCTTCTATTTCTTCACCTCTACATTTTTACATGTACAGTAACTCTGTAATAAAACATATACATCAATTTGCTATGGCATTCTCGAATTAATTGATTATATTTTTATTGTATGGTTTTCATTTATTAGACTGTATAATAAAAAAAAGATAATTGGTGGAGTGTCACAATGATAAAAATGATAAGAAATAGCAAAGATAACAGTAGTCTGTGGCCAAAAAGTCATATTTAATCATAAGCTTTGGAGCCTTTAAATAGGCAAAACACACAACTGAAATCCCTTAAGATCAGGTCCCATATCTGGCACCTTCTCCACAACCCCACCACTCCTAAAGACTAGACCACTAAGCCACTGAATCTGCTGACTAAGTCATAACTGAAAGACTCTAACGTACAGCAAATTCCTAAACTCTAGGCCACTAAATGAATGACTCAATTTGAAAAACAAGTTAAACAATAACATAAGTAAAAGTTTCAACAATCCCTCCCTTAAACTGATGTTAGTAAACATCAGTTTACAACCTTGACTGAACCTAGGTTGTAGAGACCTAGTAATCCTCTGAGTTTCACAAACGATTCTCTCTTGAGCGCCTTGGTGAATATATCAGCAACTTGATCATCACTCTTACAATGTATCAAATCAACAGTTCCATCTTTGCAAAGATCTCTCAAAAAATAAAGTTTCACATCAATGTGCTTGCTTCTTCCGTAGAGCACTGGATTCTTTGATAACTTGATTGTAGAGCTGTTATCACATAGTATTATAGTAGCTCCACATTGCTTGAACTGCAATTCCTCAAGTATTCTTCTTAGCCATATGGCTTGGCAAGCACAAGCCGTAGCTGCAACAAATTCAGCTTCTGTACTGGATAAGGTGACAATTGATTGCTTCTTTGATGACCAGGAGATTGCACCTGTTCCAAGCATAAAAACATAGCCAGAAGTACTCCTTCCATCATCTTGATCTCCTGCATAATCACTATCAGTATAACCCACCAAGTTAGATTTTTCACCCTTCCTGTAGCATATCCCCAGGTTTCGAGTTCCTTGTAAATAACGAAGGATTCTCTTGGCAGCTAACAAATGCAACTCCGTGGGACTTTCCATATATCTGCTGATTAAACTCACAGAGTACATTATATCTGGCCTTGTTGCAGTAAGATACATTAAACTGCCCACAATTTGCTTGTAGAGTGTGCTATCAACCTTCTTTACATCATGATCTTTGTGTAGCTTCATGCCACATTCAATTGGAGTACTTACGGAATTGCAATCCTTCATATGAAATCTATTCAAAATTTCTCCCACATATTTCGTTTGAGATAAGACAATTCCATCATCTGATTGCATTACTTCTATGCCAAGAAAATAATGCATCCAATCAAGATCAGTCATTTCAAATTCATTCATCATGGATTTCTTGAATTCACCAAACATGGTATCACAATTTCCAGTAAATATAAGCTCATCAACATACAGGCAAACTATGAGAAGCTTCCCCCCATCTTCAATCTTAACAAACATTGTATGTTCATAAGGACATTTTATAAAACCAACTTTAAGAAAATAAGTCTCAATTCGACTATACCAAGCCCTCGGGGCTTGCTTTAGTCCATAAAGAGCCTTTTTCAGTCTGAACACTTTATTCTCATTCCCAACTTTAATATAGCCAGGGGGTTGCTCAATAAATACCTGCTCCTCCAAATACCCATGCAAGAATGCTGATTTGACATCTAGCTGGAAGATAGGCCAAGAATTTTGCGCTGCTAATGCAACCACCAATCGGATCGTGTCATGTCTTGCAACTGGAGAAAATACTTCTGTATAATCAACCCCGTACTGCTGCTTGTATCCTTTTGCCACCAGGCGTGCTTTGTACTTGTCAACACCACCATCTTTGTTTAGCTTTGTCTTGAAGACCCATTTGACACCAATGGTTTTGTGCCCCTTAGGAAGATCACACAACTTCCAAGTGTCATTCTTCTCAATTGAATTGATTTCATCGTCCATTGCCTTTTGCCATTTTTCTTCTTTGACGGCACTCTCAAAAGTTGTAGGATCACAATCTGCGAACAAAGCAAAATGAGTAATTGGATTACTTAACCCAGTTATCTCATAATCTTCCATCCAAGCAGGCCTTCTTCTAACTCGACCAACTGACTGGGCTCCTTCTTCATTTACTTCAACAACTGGTTGTGAAATTCCAGTAGTTGTTTGAGTTGTATCTGAAGAGTTTTGTGGCATGTCAAGTGCTGGAACTTGCTCCTGTTTAGCATCATCATCATAAAAGACTTGTTTAGGCTGCTGCCCATCCTAATCCCAGGTGCTCTCTTCTTCAAAAACAACATCCCTGCTGGTCACAATCTTCTTCGTCAGTGGGTTGAATAATTTATAGGCTTTGGAGGATTCACTTACGCCAAGAAAGATGCATTTCTCAGCTTTGTCATCAAGTTTTTTTCTTTTCGCATCCGGGATGTGGGCATAAGCAAGGCAACCAAAGATTCTAAAGTGATCTACAGCTGGTCTTCTTCCACTCCAAGCCTCTTCAGGAGTCTTGTTTTGAACGGCAAAAGTTGGACTTCTGTTTAAAACATGAATACTCCAGTTTACAGCCTCCGGCCAAAAAGTCCTTGGAACTCTTCCCCTTGTTAATAGAGTTCTCACCATATTAAGAATTGTTCTGTTCTTCCGCTCTGATACACCATTTTGTTGTGGTGTATGTGCAGCTGTAAGTTCTCTTCAAATGCCATGTTGCATGCAAAAACCTTCAAATTCTTTTGAGCAATACTCGCCACCCCGATCTGTTCGAAGAGACTTAATAGTCTTGTCTGCTTCATTTTCCACAAGAGCTTTGAACCTTTTAAACATAGTAAAAGCTTCTGATTTTTCCTGTAAAAAATAAACCCATGTTTTCCGTGAAAAATCATCAATGAAGGTAATTAAGTATCTTTTACCTCCATTAGACGATGGGTTTATTGGGCCACAAATATCTGAATGCACCAGCTCTAACACATCCTTTGCTCTCCAAGACTTTCCTTTGGGAAACTGAGAACGGTGTTGTTTGCTGACAACACAGTCTTCACAGACTAGGGAGGGAACAGTAATTTCCGGAAGCCCTGTCACCATGGTTTTCTGTTGTAGAGCCCTCAGTCCACCAAAACTTAAGTGGCCATAACGAAAGTGCCACAACCATGAGGGGTCCTTTACCTCAGCCATCAAACAAGATTGAATGCTTTCAATTTCTATTGGAAATAATCTGTTAGAACTCATCTGGACAGTTGCAATAGAACTTCTTCTATCAGGATCATAAATTTCACATGTGCCTTTCTTAATTGTAATGACATACCCCTTTTCTTGCAACTGACCAGCACTCAACAAATTACTTTTCAAATCAGGAACATACAACACATTAGAAATTGTTTTCACAAGGCCATTCTTAGTATGTATCTTAACATCACCTTTTCCCATCATTTTCACAGTAGAGAAGTCACCAAAACTGACAGTAGAGTGAAGGCTTTCATCTAGATTCGAAAAAGAAGACTTACTTCTACTCATGTGATTGCTGCAGCCTGTATCGACATACCAAATATTCGACTCAATCTTTTTTCCTTCATGGGCAGCCATCAACAAAGTTTCTGGTTCATTCGTTTCTTCTGCAAAATTTGAGTTCTCCTCTCTTTCTTTATACTTTGGCAGTTCAGTGACACATTCAGAAGCATAATGACCATATTTGTGACATCTAAAGCACTCTACTCTAGATTTGTCATGATCTCGATCTCCCCTTCCTCTTCCTCGGCCTCTACCTCTTCCTCTTGAGCTGTTGGAGCGAGTGTTGGTAGAAGCTTTTAAAGCTTGTTCCTCTGTTGTCCAGCTTCGATTCATCTTCTGTTCATGGACTAACCAGGAGCTCTGCAATTCATCAAGAGAGAGGTCATCTATGTCGTTTGACTCTTCAATTGAGCAAACAACATAGTTAAATTCTCGCGTCATAGAACGCAGAATTTTTTCTACTATGTTAACATCTTTAATCTCTTCTCCATAGCATCTCATTTTATTTGCGATTTCCATCGTCCTTCCAATAAAGCTTGTAACAGATTCCGCATCCTTCATCTGCAAAACTTCAAAATTCCTCCTCAAGGCTTGAAGCTGTGCACGCTTCACTCTAGAAGAGCCTTGATATTTTTTCTTCATTGAATCCCAAATATCCTTGGATGTATCTTTGCAAAGAATAGTCTCCAAGATGGGACGATCAATAGCCTGGAAGAGATAGTTCTTCGCTTTCAAGTCTTTGAGCTTTCTAGCTTCAATGTCTGTTTGCTGAGCATCTGTCACGGTTGCACCTGCTGGTGGTTCTTGAATTCCAGATTCAACTACTGACCAATATTCTTTGGACCGTAAAAAATTTTCCATGAGCATGCTCCAGTGGTCATAGTGACCATCAAAGCGAGGGATGGCGGCTTGCACAAAATTTGAGTCATTGGCCATTTGGATAGGGTAGCGGGGAAGAGTAGATAATTTCAGGTGTTTCACTCTCAGGAATCTTGTAGCTCTGATACCACTGATAAGAAATAGCAAAGATAACAGTAGTCTGTGGCCAAAAAGTCATATTTAATCATAAGCTTTGGAGCCTTTAAATAGGCAAAACACACAACTGAAATCCCTTAAGATCAGGTCCCATATCTGGCACCTTCTCCACAACCCCACCACTCCTAAAGACTAGACCACTAAGCCACTGAATCTGCTGACTAAGTCATAACTGAAAGACTCTAACGTACAGCAAATTCCTAAACTCTAGGCCACTAAATGAATGACTCAATTTGAAAAACAAGTTAAACAATAACATAAGTAAAAGTTTCAACAAAAAAAAAAAAGAGTAAAATGCAACTAACATTTCTCAATTTCAAAATATATCATTTTACTTGAAACTCGAGGAGGCTAACAGTGTAAATAACCATTTTATTAATCCCTTCAATATGACATTGCCGAATTATTAGTGAAAAAAAAAAGACTAATAAAGATATATCCTATGAACTAGAGATGGCAAGTAGTTTTTGACAAAGTCCTAGGATGAAACGGTGAAATTAAGCATTCCTTTTTAACTGAGAAAGTTAATAGGGGATGGTCAGCATACCACATCTTGGAAAACTAGGAAAAAAATCATATAAAATTAGTTTAAGTCAAGCACCTTTCATTCGCTAATTGTTGAATTTTAGAAGTAATAGATATCAAAATGTATCTTTTTTAAATTGTTAAAAGGTTTTTTAGCCTATTCAGTACGAAGTGCTCAATTGTTAGGTTTCTTTTTTTTTTCCTCCTCCCCCCCCCCCCCCCCTCCATTTTTTCTAAAGATTTTTTTTTTGTCTTAAAAAGGGACAAATTTGGGACAAACAAATTATAGGAAAAAAAGAAAGTAAATGAAAAAGAATTGAAAGCTAAGTGAATCAGTGAATGAACACAGCCCACATGCAACCCAGTCAGCTGTTCAATAGTTGAGAATGTGGATAAGGGATAAGGTTCCAAACCCCATTTGTCCAATGAAAATCATCCATGTAAAGCTATTCATCACTTGGAACCACGCATTTGTGAGCAAAAGATATTCAATTCCCAGTCAGAAATTACGAAACCCCTTTTGCTCTGCTCGCTGCTCAGTTATATTCTTGTTCTGGATATAGGGAATCTAAGAACAGCTCCAAATGGCAACTGCTGCATCCACCACCATGGCCAGCCAGCTCCAGAGCAGCCTTGCTTCATCCCTGACAACTAGGTTGGCTACCCCAAAGGGCATCTCTGCAGCTCCATTCAGAGTCTTACCCTCAAGGAGGAAGTCTTGCTTCACCATCAAAGCTATCCAATCGGAGAAGGTAAAGAATCTTCATTTTGTGCTTGGTTTCTTAATCTTAGCCTGCAAACAAATCAATGGGTTAAAAAGTTCAGAGAGTATTGTTCGGAGCCCATCAGCAGAAAGTTCATCTTTTGCTCCTTTTTTTTTTTCCCCATATTTACTTTATCTATGTAGTATTCTACATTATCCTGATATAAGATGAAGACCCAATTGAATATAGGAAAATCGATGAAAACTGAACCATAATTTTTGCTCGTTAAGATTGCCAATAGTAGTAGCATGTCACCTTCTTTATTTTTTATGGTACCAATGATATTGAATTAAAAGCTAATTGTCTAATTACACTTTGCCATTTTGGGCTTTGATTAAGGATTTTGATTTGATGGTGTCATGTTGAACCTCGTCCACATATTGCATTGCAGCCAACTTATCAAGTAATTCAGCCCCTGAATGGCGATCCGTTCATCGGAAGCCTTGAGACCCCGGTGACATCAAGCCCCATAGTCGCTTGGTTCCTCTCCAACCTCCCAGGTTACAGGACAGCGGTGAGCCCGCTTCTCAGGGGAATTGAGGTCGGCCTAGCCCATGGGTACCTCTTGGTTGGCCCGTTCGTGATTACAGGCCCGCTGAGGAACACCGACATCAAAGGTCCAGCCGGTTCACTCGCAGCTGCTGGGCTTGTCATCATCCTCAGCATTTGCTTGACAATGTATGGCATCGCATCCTTCAACGAGGGTGAGCCCTCAACTGCCCCGGGACTGACCTTGACCGGCAGGAAGAAGGAGCCTGACCAGTTGCAGACTGCTGAGGGATGGGCTAAGTTCAGTGGAGGGTTCTTCTTTGGTGGGATCTCTGGTGTCATCTGGGCTTACTTCCTTCTCTATGTCCTTGACCTTCCTTACTACATTAAGTAATTTTTTTGATGTTGTAACTATTTTGATTCCTCGATGGAAAATGAAAGTTGTATATTTATATTAAGGGATTAATCATTTGTACAATTGACATTGATGATGCCTGATGAATTTTGCCGTTCTTGATCTTTTACATCGAGTATAATCTACATGCCAAGATCAACAAGAAAATACACTCTGAAGATTCATAGTTGAAGATCAACCATGGATCGAGATATACTCTTAATAATATTATTATATGTTGCTCATAAAGGTATTTATTTACCTTACTGAATTAATCAACTTATGTTGAGTCCTTTGTTGGTATTATTGTTTTACAATGCTATGGAAGTAAATTTATGTAGTTTGTAGTATGAACTTTCACAAAATTGAGTAGAGTCACGCGAAAGATTTTTTTTTTTAAATATTTAAGAGATACTCTAAAGGTTACACGGACGGGCAAAACTTACTAGCGGACAACAACAGTTAGGGGAAATATCAACGCATATCATTTTTATATTTGATATGTTCTGATCCGTGATGATAATCGAAACTGAATCCATCCAAATTTCTTCTAAAAAAATATTTATATTTGGCAAACGATAGGAAATGTTCGTTGTTTTTTCCTTAGACAGAAACGATGTGACTCATAAACCTTTTATTGTACCATGGAACTCTTTTATGATAAATTTGAATTGATTCTGGCCTTGCATGAGATAAAGGATCAAAAGGGCAAATGATTGTAATTCAATTTGATAAAGGATCAAGGATCAACGAATAAACCAAATAATGCTACCCCTCCTGTTGTTTAACAATTACGTTAGGTCTTTCGCCAGTACTATGATGTTGCTGTTTCTAAACAATTGAGAACCAGAAATCTCCTATCTATTAACAAAAAAAAAAAAAAAAGGAAGAAGAAGAACCTTCACCATATCCAGTCTTTTTTTTTTTGGCTCATAAAAATAATAGTTTATATAATTTATTCTAGTCTAATCTAGGGGTGTGCAAAATCGAAAAATTCCAATTTATCAATCGAATTCGAATTGAATTCGGAATTTTCGAAATCGGTAAATTGAAAATCGGAATCGAATTCGGGTTTTCCGAATTCATATATTTCGAATTTGGTTCGAATTCGATAATGGAGTTTTTTCAAATCGGAATTTTCGATTTCGAATTCACAATTCGAAATCGGAATTCGAATTCCGATTTTGATTTCAAATTCGTTTTTAATATATAAATATATTTTTTATACATGTAATATAAAATTTATACTATATAATATTATATAAAATTTATATAATATAATATAATATAATTTTATATTATATAATAATATATAATTTTTTCCGAATTCGGTGAAATCGAAATTTACCTAATTCCAAATTGAATTCGGTACGAATTCGAATTCGGAATTGGTAAATTCGAAATCAAATTCAGTCGAATTATCAGATATCAAAATTTCGAAAAATTCCGAATTCAAATTTTCGAATTATCGATTTCGATGCACACTCCTAATCTAATCTAAGGGAAAGGAAGGGAAAACCACACCTAGTGGCTGGTGGGAGGCAAGAACTAAACCTTGACCTTCAACTTCGGCCGAAACTTTAAAGGTGTCTTGATGATCAAAGTCCAAGAGATTGGTTGGGCTGTTGGCTTCACCATATCCAGTCATACTACCGATTTTTGGCACAGCTTGTAGCAGGCAAAAACTTTGCCCGAAAGATATAACTGTCACAGCCGCCAATATTAACTCTGAACTCTGAAGCACTCGCTTCCTATCATTAATCAAATCCCCTACTCTTTAGTAATTTCTTTGCTTGGACTTCTGGAATTTCCCTGCATCTTTTCATGGCTCTGCAGCTCTGCTCTTCTTCTTCTTCTCTGCTTTCTCTCTGCAGCCTGCAACTGCTCCGTCTTTCTCCCATTGCATCCCCTTCAGACCAGTTTCTCAAACCAACAATAATGCCCCAAGGTATCCTCAAGAAGAAGAAGCAGAAGCATTCCCTACTTTTTTGCCGGTCAAGCAATGATGAGAGCAACGAGGTACAGCCGTACAGTACAGCATTTGTCCCGTGCTTCATTTGGCATTTTATTATGCATGGTTCAAGAGTTCCTATTTATTCATTTAGTTTGTTTGTCAATGCTCGTTCAGGATTATTACTTGGATGCTCCTGTTTCAGTAGGAGATGGCTTTTCTTTTAGTGGAGGTAAAATCTAAAATTGACTCTGGATGCATCCCCTCTTTCGTGAATATCAATCAAAAAGCTATATTGAACTAAACTAATGGTTCTAGTAGGAATTGGCTATTGTTTTCTTCTGCATAGGAAAATATTCGGATGAGCCAAGTCCAGCTGATGAATGGTTCGAGCAAGGAAAGATTGTATGCTCTCTTTTAAAGTCAGCATGTTTCTAATCTCTTCTTCCTGTCGGAAATTGGCATAATAATCCCGGCCATCACGTTTAGAGTTAGAATCTTTAGTACCCCTTCAAATTTCAAAACCTGGTAATGCTTGTTGCTGATACAGGTAAAAGCACATCCTGTTGGGGGTACTGGTGACAAGGCCAAGGATCCCATCTTTGGTCTTGCAATGGGAGGTGGTTCACAAACCTCATCTGATCTTTTCAGGTAACTTCGAAAAGTCTCTAGTTTGTACAAAAGTGTGTGGTAAGGAGGCAAAAACAACATGGCTAAGCACTGTAACGGGAATAGCTCTCGATCTTATGCAGAATATTGTTTTATTGGATGGATTGTTTGCAGGGATTACCGATTGAAACATGCTCTCTCTGTATATGATTTTGTACAATAGATGGTTTTGCGTTGACAGCGGAAGTGCTGACAATCATCCCATTGTGTTAATTCATGGTTTTCCTTCACAGGTTAGTGTTCAATTACACTCATTCTGTACACTCTAGAAAACTACAGATCATCCAAATGCTTGTCTTGTACAAGTACTACAGATCATACAAATGTTATGTAACCTATATAAGTGCCCCCAAGAATGAGACTGAAGGAAAATGCAAATTCCAGGCCTGAATTTGTTTCTTAACCCACTGCCTCATCTTACTTTATAGGTAGCAGTTTTCTTGCTATAAAGTGTGAAAATATTAGTCGGAGGAATAGTTACCAGTTTCTCTGAAATCAACTTTTTCAGTCAATCCTTGTGTTTTTTGGTGGAAAGAGTTCTCAACTGATGCAATTACTTCCTTGTAACAAGTAGATTGATATTAAAATCCTCACGTAAACTTGACGTCCATGCTCACTTTTTTCTGATACAGGCATATTCCTACCGCAAAGTCCTTCCAATACTTTCAAAGAAATATCATGCTATTGCATTTGATTGGCTTGGTAAGCTTCACGTCTTTGCTTTCAGTACAAACAGAGGTTGAGGATTTACTTTCTTGAATTTTGAATATTGTCTTCTTCTAAGCTTCCTGCAGTTGTATTGTTTTTCCCAAATTGGTTTTATATTAGCACTATGATAAATGCTGCATCCTAGTTGAATCAACTGCATTGCCTATTCCAATGCTTTTTTGCTTGCTGAGCCAATGAAGTTATTACAGAATATCTTGATTATGAGCTAAAGTTTGACAAAATTGTTATGCTCCTTGGACTTGCAGGATTTGGATTTTCTGATAAGCCCCAACCTAGATATGGTTTTGACTACACTCTGGATGGTACTTGCATTCAGAACCCAGGGAGAAAATCACTTATTTTTGTCCTTACAAAGAAATTGAACTTGGTAACATTGAAGATGGATTCTGTCTGCTCAAACTATTGTATGCCTTGTATGGTTGCAGAATATACGACATCCTTGGAATCTATTATAGATGAAACCACCAAGGGTAAAGCCACACTAGTTGTCCAGGTACTTAACTTTTGAAGAATTTGTATGACCAATGCTCAGCAGAAATTCTATATCAAATTCTGTGCATTTGGTTTGAAATTTTGGTTTATGGACTTCCTTTGTAGGGCTACTTTTCGCCTGTTGTGGTCAAATATGCTAGCAGTCGTCAAGAAAAGATTACTGATCTCATACTTCTCAACCCTCCAGTATGGAAATATTTGCCAATCTACTGTTGATTTCTAATGTTTCCTTCTGTCATTGTGTCCTAAGAACACAAAGAGAATCTGCAATTATGCATCTCTGTCCGTGTATCTCTATGTACAGTAGGATGTCCATAGACCAATCATCATTATTAGTTCATGGATCTTAGCAGGTCTCTCATGAATTCTTGTTTCTGCTTTCTAAAGCTCACAGCCAAGCATGCCAATCTCCCGTCCACATTATCCATATTCAGCAACTTTCTGTTGGGGGAAATTTTTTCTCAGGTATGGATACCACAAAAGTTAGTGAGACTGTTATCATTCCAGCCGAGCCCATGTTACAGTCTATGCAAACATCAGCTTCTTGGTTTCACTTCAGTGACTGCAACTTCTCTGTCAACAGGATCCTCTAAGAGCCAGTGATAAGGCCCTGACAAGCTGTGGCCCATACGTAATAAAAGAAGACGTCGCAATGGTTTATAGGAGACCTTACCTCACGTCTGGTTCTGCAGGATTTGCACTAAATGCAATTAGCAGGGCCATGAAGAAAGAACTTAAGGTGCACTCTTTTTTCTCACAAATTAAAATATGGAAATGGCCAGCAGCTCTTAGTATATGGAAATTTGTTGGGTTTGCTACTTCTTAATGCATGTAACAGTTTATCCACTTCTTGGAATGCATAAATAAAGAGATCTCTATTTCACAATACTTAAAAGCAAGGGACATCTAAATTAAGCGCCTTGAGAATAAATTAGACCTTTTCATATTCTCTAGTTCTTGATCTAGGTCATCTGTCATTGTTTATTTTGAGCGCTAACTGGAAAAACATTTTTCTGTTTCGAAGGCTTCATGTTTCTTGCATTGATTTCAGCTCCTCGGGAAAAACAATTAGATTTGTGATGCAATGACTATTTTGATCGAATTTTGTGTTCCAAAAGTTTTATTTATTTTCCTTTGTGCGTCCTAGCCCTACATTGAAGAGATGAGAAGGATACTAATGGACGAAAACTGGCAAGTTAACACAACAATCATTTGGGGCGAACGAGACCGCTGGCTAAGCTACAACGGAGTCGAGGAATTCTGCATAGAATCGAAGCACCGACTTATAAGACTTCCAATGGTAATTTCATGCAGTGGACTAGCAACATTACGCCCAAAATTGCAATACTGCTTGGCCAATTAGAGCAGTTCAGAAGAAAGTAAATGGTCTTTTTAAACATGAGCATGTTTAGTTATGATCTCCATGTTCTGTCTCACTCCGGACCGGAAGACTAAAAAATGCAGTTACTCCATTGCCTTTGCAGGCAGGGCACCATGTACAGGAGGATAGCGGGGAAGAGGTGGCGCAACTTATTGCTCAAGTTGTTGGCCGGTAAAGTCTTATTTTGCAGGATTTCTGAAGCTGCGTTGTTTAATCTTCCGGGAACTCCATAAAGTGATCTGACTCCTGTATCTGGAACCATAAATGTAGATATGTAACTTGATGAAGAATTAATTTGAGAAAATTATTATCCCTGTCTGTCTGCTTCAAAGAGTGCAGAAAAACCCCGTATACACTTCAAGCCGTGGATGTCAAGATCCAACAAAAACCCCGTGTCTGATTTTCCTATTCGTTCTTTGCGTTTTATTAGTGATGCTATAACGAATAAATAATTTTCCTGTCATCAGTGATGTTATAATCAATACATATAATTTAGGTACAAGCTTATAGTGTTAATTTTCCATGTGTATATTTCCCTTGAACTATCAGCATCCATTAGACGAAGTCCCCTGCTCTGCTTTGCAGGCTACTGAAACGGATTACTCCAGCATTTGTCTTCTCTCACTGCCTTTTTCCATCTGTTCTTGAAAATTTCTAACTCGGCGTAAGATCGCTTTCGAACCTGCAAAAGTTGGATAAATGGACGTTTGTGTACAATAGATACGAATATAGCTCACAGCCAAAAAATTATGACCGCAATTTAGGGGCAGCACAAGGTGAGGAACTAGCAGAGCTTCTTCTAGAAAGATGTTAAAAGATACTTACTGCATCTCTATCATCAGAAGGATGAGATGTAGACGGAACCTGAAATATTTGCAGTACATTTAGGATGTATGAAAGTTTAAGAAAGGTACCACTGGCCCTTTCATAAATGTCCACAAACATACCATGGATCCTTTGTCAGGTGAGGTACCATGTTTCGAAGCTTGGCCCTGTACTTCACTTGTCTGCAAATGTTCAAGAACAACTCAATTTTCTCAAGACAAGAGAGACCTGCAGGTAATGATATTACAGTTCCTACAGAGTTTGTTCCCACCACAAATCCGTTCTCCCATACTTCCACTTTATTCAAATCTTGCAAACAAATAATATTTCATAATATCAAACAGAAAAATGCTGGTCCATTTTCTTGCAAAGCACAGTGGCAATGTTCAATTAATTAAAGAATGTCTAAATTCCATAGTATGAGATCAAACTTTGAACCTTTTCCATTTTATACATATTCAATATCCAAAGATAGATGCTTTGCCATGAATGGCTAAGTTGCACTGCTGTATGGTTTACATGCCTTGGATTTTTAATTATTACCTTGTGATGACAGGTTTGGTTTTATCATTCTTTTACTTTGAGACTAAAAGAGTTGCATTCATGTGCAAAATGTAGGCACTAATAAGCACAGATTTAAGATTAAAAATCTTTTCAAAGAACTAAAAAAATACAAATGACCAGCTATATTGTACCTTATTTACTGCTGAACCCCCTAGGGTAGGAAGACCATAGTGGACAACGTACTCTGAGTCAACAATCCCAATGTTTGCAGTTCGGTTTCCCTACCAAAGGAATAGCTAGCAAGTTTGAGATATCAATGAGTGTGAGACAATAATATGGGAGACCAGAGGAAAAAAAGAGGAAAAGAAGAGGAAGTTATCTGTTATACAGTGACAAACCTGTGCACAGTAACCAAGCTGGAAATCCAACCCCCATGCATGAATTAAGTCGTTCTGTTGAAAACAACAGTAAGAAAAGGTCGTATTTCTATGGCATAACACGATCATGAACATGCAAGAGTAATTCTGCTAATAATAATTCAAAACTAATCTAGATGGCATAATCAACAAAATTCAATGGTTATGCTGCCACACACTGATTTCTGGATGACTTGATATATCTACAAATGCCATACCTGAATCATGTACCACGCACAACGCCAGGATGCACGTGAAAAAACAGGAGCCATCATTTCCACCCACCTGCCAATGTATAAGAAGTGTTCATATTTCCTCTTTTATAACTAATGGATGTATAGGAACCTGTTTCAATATCTGAAAATTTTTCAATGATAAATAATACTGCAGAATATCTCTGATGCACTATACCATACCCAGTGCAGGGAGGCTCTGTGCTATTTTCGTAACACCTTCTCCCAGTCCCTCTTAAGTTAACAGCCCTTCTGCTCACAGAATAAAACCAGTGAGCATATGTTGATTGAAGACAGGAAAGATACATATAATCCAAGCATAGACAAGATACATGCCAGTATGCCACTAAATTCCAATCTAATAACTTTTTAGTACTGAAATGTAGTACCGATGCACTTTTAATCTCTTTTCCCTGGATGTGATTTTGTGATGGACCTCCGACTTATCAGGATCAATTGCTGGTTGTGATATTTGAAGCCCTTCTTCTTTAATTATTGATAGATATCTGCATCACGTTAGAAGTAATGACTATCAGTTACAAATATTAATCATAGATTGTTGTCACCATTCTAACAAGTCCAAATACTTATCAGATATTTGCTTTGTTCCTCAGGTACTCTTTGGTAACAATATATCAATAAAGTTCAGTCAGAATCTAGTGGTATGATTTAAATTTGCCAAAAGCTATAGTATCAAACTTACGAAGCAAGTCATACATATCATCTTCAGGCCTATCGATTACTGGATATGTTTGTGTGCTTTACTATTTATAGAGTTGAAAATAAGATTACCTTCCAACACGAAAATTTTCAACTCCAATATCTTCATCCCACAGAAAGATATATGCATACTCAGAAACAACATCTGGATGAAGGAAACGCTTCGCAAACCACCTGAGGAATGGAGACAGAGTAAAAACACCTTGTTGCTTAAAACCAACAATCTGTGTATCTTACATGAGGCAAAACTAGCAGGGTTAGTTACATATAAGTGATAACTAATAGTACCATTTAGTTTGGTTAATAGCAGAAACATGGATGGCACTACTACTCCATTCTAAGTCTTTCCAACCATCCACTTTGCCGTCATAATGGAAAAGCATAACGACAAATTGAGCTGGGGGAAACTGCAAATCAGATATAGTTGATGGTAAGACACAAACTAAAACTTGATTTACTTTAACCAAGAAGATTTAGCCTCACCTTCTTAACAATTTGATCTACATTTCCTTTCTGCTTTAGTCCAACTGCAATGGCCAGCAAGTTCATTGGTGACTTTGAATTCTAGAGAGGGATAAAGAGCATTGCAGGGTCAGATAAAGCAAAGCGAAGTAACCTAAACACAGATAAAAACCGAATTCTACAAGTATGATTTGGAGCGGTAAAGAAAAGCAAGCTATTCAATACGCAAGGGAAATCCCCACCTTTTTTTTGGAAGGGCCCCATAGCTGCCGCATTTCCAAATCAGAAGTTCTAGTAACAATACCTCTAGGCAATGTCTCACTTCCATCAGGCATGCATTGATTCTATACCGTACATCCACATTCGCAAGAAAACCAATTAAGAAAAAGCAACAAAAAATAATAGTTCCTTTTTCCCTAAGAGGCGCGAAGATTGAGGAGGAAAATTCTTCACAAACCTCACAGGGGGTTTGAAAGGTTGTAGTATTGACAACACCAATAGTTTGCAATCCAACATGACTCTGCTCAGCGGAAAGCCGCAAAAATTGGTGACTTTCTTGATAAAATCATTCTCATATACCATGAAATACAAATACAGCGAATAATAGTATCAAAAACTGACTTGTTTATGATTATAATTTGTGAGAAGCAACGCGCTCCCAACAAGAAGAACTGCAGAAAGAATAAAGGCTGAAGTAAGGCAGCTGCAAATCATTAATGATCTCCGCCTCTTTGTATCCACCATCCTTCCAGCTATCTAATCAAAACCTTGACCAATAACCCAAGAAAAAAAAAAGGGAAATTGTCATGACAAAATCTGTGATTTCAGAACACAGCAAACAACCATGCATAAGACCATACGAGTGATGTGATTAATCATAACAAGTGAATGCAAGAATGAATTACTGACTAGCATAGCATGCTGACGGCTTTGGGTTGAGGAAGATTTGTACAAGTGGTGGTATGCTGCTGCTGCATATTGCTAGAAACAGAAGGTATAAGTTGTGGAGGTAAGTACGGGTGGAAGTCAATGGATATGAAGGAGGAGATAATGGAAATTTGCTTGAAGAGGTAGAAAAGTTTTGGGCGACGACGGAAAGCGAAAGCGATTGCCATTTGATGGATACAGGACTCTCTGGAGAGACGAGTACTGGTAAAATCGGCACCCTTCCCTTGTTTTTTATGGTTGCAACTTTTCTACGAGTTACAGCCGGAAGGATGATTTGGTCATTACGTTATTCATGCTTTCCGAACTATACCTTTAACAAAAATTTCATCTTCTAATTTATTTGTCCCCTTTCCCATTTCCTCAAGATAGCACGAGTATTACTCTTATTATGGTTCAAATTTGGGAATAAAGGAGAAGTTGCATCCTTTGGGTAATGAGTTGTTTAACGCTGCAAGCGAGCGCGCTAACCTTCCCTGCCCCGCCATACTCAAACACCCTTTCTAATGATTCCCAGGATAATGCCAGTAAGAACATTAGTAGCATATCTTTGTTACGGAAATGCAGAACTTTCAAAGAAATTCCTCCAATCCACGCTAATATCCTTAAAAATGGCCACCAGAATGACCCCTTTATCGTATTCGAGCTGCTTCGCATGTGTTCCAAAACCAATTCAATTAACTATGCTTTCGAGATTTTCCACCATATCCGGGAACCCAACGTCTATCTTTACACTGTCCTCATTGATGGCGTCGTGTTATCTGGATTATATCTTGACAGCATTAGAATTTACTGTCAAATGGTTGAGGATCTCATTTTACCGGACAACTATGTAATCAGTTCCGTACTCAAGGCATGCGGGTTTCAAATGGAATTGAAATTTGGTAGGGAGATTCACGGCCAGGCTACCAAACTTGGGTTGTGCTCAAACCGCTCTGTCAAGTTAAGGTTAATAGAACTTTATGGGAAATGCCGCGAATTTCAAGATGCGAAGAGGGTGTTTGGTGAAATGCCTGAGAGAGATGTGGTCGCCGCGACTGTAATGATTTCGTGTTATAGCGATCATGGATTGGCCGAGAAGGCGGTTGATGTTTTTAATTTGGTGAGGATTAAGGACGCGGTTTGTTGGACTGCAATAATCGATGGATTGGTAAGGAATGGGGAAATGAGCAAGGCTTTGAAGTTTTTCAGGCGTATGCAGAGGGAGGGTGTGAGACCAAATGAAGTTACCTGTGTTTGCATCTTATCTGCATGCGCACAGTTGGGAGCATTAGAACTTGGTAAATGGGTTCATTCTTACCTGGAGATGCATGATATTGATGTTAATCATTTAGTTGGCTCGGCTTTGATCACCATGTATTCACGGTGTGGGGATATTGATGAAGCTGAGAGAATCTTCAATGTTTTGCGAGAAAGAGATGTCACCACTTACAATTCATTGATTATGGGGTGTGCGTTGAATGGGAAAAGTGGAAAGGCTGTTGAGATGTTTCAAGGAATGATAACCAAAGGGATCAGACCAACCAACATTACCTTCATTGGTGTTTTGACTGCATGTAGTCATGGTGGTTTGGTGGATTTGGCATTTGACATCTTTGACAGCATGGAAACAAAACACGGAATTGAACCCGAAATTGAGCACTGTGGATGCATGGTCGATCTTCTTGGCCGAGTTGGTCATCTCGAGGATGCTTACAAGTTCATCTGGAGTATGAAAATAACCTCAGACCATATAATATGGGGATCACTGTTGAGCGCTTGCAGAATTCATAAGCATTTTGATATAGGAGAAAGAGTTGCACAAGTTCTAGTTGACATTGGAGATGCCGATTCAGCTACCTTTATTCTTCTCTCCAATTTCTATGCCGCTCAGGGAAAATGGGAAGCAGCGGCACAAGCAAGGGTAAAGTTGCAGGATGGAGGTGTACGAAAGGAACCAGGTTGCAGTTCTATTGAAGTGGAAAATGAGATTCATGAGTTCCTTCTGGGAGACACTAGACACCCGAAAAGGGAAGAAATCTACAAAAAACTTGAGGACTTGAACCAGATGTTGAGGTTAAAGGGTTATTCTCCAGATACAGAGGTGATTTCACAGGATATTGGGGATCAAGAGAAAAAGTGGGCTTTAGCCATACACAGCGAGAGGCTTGCAATATGCTATGGATTGATTTCCACCAAGCCACATACCACAATAAGGGTTGTAAAAAATTTGAGGGTTTGCAGTGACTGCCATTCTGCTATCAAGCTCATTACAGAAATAACTGGGAGAAATATTGTCTTGAGAGATCGCAATAGGTTTCACCATTTTGAAAATGGTATCTGTTCTTGTGGTGATTATTGGTGACAAAAAATGAAAAAGAAAGGAGAGGGAAATTTTCTGGTCACACTTGTAGACTTGGTGGTTGTATCTGTCTCTTTCTGTTTCAGTTAAAACCTTCTAGCCACCCTCTTGGATGATTAGTAGCACATCATTGGCCACGTGACTAGATGTACTTGAGGAGTAATTGAGGATGTGAGGGAGGTGGAAGAAGATGATGCAGTTCCATTACAGCTAATGTAACCTGTCGTAAGAGTTTGGATGCTTATCTGTTTGTTGCTTGGTCCATTAAGCATTCGATTATTGATTTTATGATAATGCATACTGGACCTTTGTTTCCATTTTTAATCTTCCTTTTCCCTTCTTTGCTAATTTTTTTTGGGGGTACTATTGCCAGGTATTTTGCTTGTGTTTGGGAGTTGCGAAGATATCTATCGTCTGTCATATGGGCTGCAAACGAGGTGCAGCATTGTAGTAAACTGCAAGCTAATAGGTTTGGATATTGGCAATATCACAACCTTTATGCTAGTTAAACCACAAAAATGAATATTTGTTACTTTTGAGTTAGACATGGAAGATTGAATGATAATACAACTCGGAATCTACACCAATACTTGCCTGCCTCGGTAAGCTGCAGTCAATTTTTCATCTATTTTGATGTTATAATTCCAGTTTATGTATATATGATATATCATACATGCTCTCTCTCGTCCTCTTCTTCTTCTTTTTTTTTTTGTCTTTTCTTTGCTTTTCTTTGCCTTTTTCTGTTGCTTGAATCCTATTAATGCCTAACTTGATATTCTCGTGTATAAGAAAGAGTTTGTCATATTACATTTGTGTCCTAGAGGCAGAACGAAACATGGGTAGAAAATTTCCTTACAGGAGTGCTTAAGCGATTTCACAAAAAATCATTTTTGGTCAGAACCTGTTGTTCCCACGATTTTATTGGTTACAAGGGTTTCAGAGGCACAGACGTGGACATCATCGCATCTTAACTGCTGTTTCTATAACACATCAACCATACTGAATTTTCCAGGGTCAAGGTTTTCCAATATATCTTCACACAAAAACACCGTTCGTCACGAATTCACCCTCTTCCAACTTTCATCACTTAACTTTCAGTCTAGAGACAGATTTAAATGAAGTTCAACAAATCAACCGTAACAAGCACAGCTGCAATGAATTAGTATAGACTTCCCATTTACTTTCCACCAATCAAGAAGCAGTAATGAACTCATGGAACCGCGACGGCATTCTCCCTTTCCGTCTTTTGCTGGACAGTTTGTCTTACAGCAGACATACTCACGGTTTAGGATGCTGCTAATGGCCCAGCTGATTCTGTAATATGCTATTAGGCGATTGTTTTCTTGCTTCACGGAAATGATGCAAACAGAGGATCTGCCACCTCTTCCCTTTCATCCTCCAGGTCATCCTGCAGCACCAGCAGCATCCAAGTGACAGCCCTTGATGGCATAATAAATGTCAACTACATCTTCGTGGTTGCAGTGTTGTGCGCTATCTTAGGCCGCCGCCGGCCAGCAGAGTCTTGGGGGGTTCGGCTTGCGATGCCGACGTTGACGTAGATATAGATAAAGTAATCTCCTTCGGCTTCTTCCTCTTCTTCATCCTCGTAGCTCAAGGCCTGAATCTGGCCATGTATCTTCTATACAGCAATGATATAGATGAGCCTTGAGAATCTATATGAGACATGGGATGTTGGCATCAGCAGTTGGGTCTCTAATCGGGTGCGCTGTGCGGGTTCTTGATGCTCCCTATAGTGGATGTGGATCTTTGTCTTGTCGGAGTCGATTGACAGTTCCAAGCAGTGTGCATTTTTTATTACTGCGGTGGTACCTGGGATTTTGGTTTAGGTTTCAATTAGTCAGCAAGCTTTAGCTCTTCACCCTTCAGTGTCATTTGAAGATGGAGTAATTAGTTGCCTAAGGCCTTGTTTGGACAGCAATTTTCTAAAGAAAAATTGCTACGTTTCCGGGAACACATTTCTTAATCACCTTTTTACCTTACATATATCAAATCCCTATAGTATTTTTCTACAAAAAATCTAGAAAAATGCAATCCAAACAATCGTTAAGTTTGTGGACTTCGGCAAATTGTGCGGACTGGAATTAATTGAAACTTCCTTTTTTTTTTTTCCTTTTCCCTTGCTTGAAGGCACTACTAAGTAGTGCTTTAATTGGATCAAATTGTGATAGACGTAAATTTTACCTCGTTTGAAGGGTAACTTCTTTATTTGTTTGGAAATTGTTCTATACATGGAACAAGTTTTAAAGCTTTTCCATTTCAACCACATGCAACTACTAGTTACTTCTAATTTCGGCTCCTCCCTTCCCAACGACTCTAACTTGTTAGTTTTTATTTTTCATTGTAATTTTAGAAATTACGTAAAACACTACTAATTGTCTTACCAATTCTAACTGATTTTTTTTTAAAATTTTCCCGGTATTTATTTATCTAAACTAGAACGTCAACATGAACATGAACATGAAACACAAAGAGACATGAGTCATGTCTAAGGCTAGAGAAATTATTATATTAACTAGACATTCAAAAAGAAAATCTCGAAAACCTAAAATCTACTAATCCTTAAGATAAAAATAGAACATCCTTTGAAACAAATTTTCATTTCTTGTACAAAAATCAACACTTTACTCTCTCTCATAGTACTAGTAACTGTTATTACTTATTGGTATCGTCAGTCAAAAAAGTATATATCAAGTATCATTAATAAATAGGGTTAATACCACTTTGTCCCCCCAAATTTTGGACGATTACTCACTTCAGTCCCTAAACTTTAAAATTGGACACTTAAGTCCCTAAATGTATAAATACCTCTCACTTAAGGAAAATTGTTAACAAATTATGAATGCCGTTGGTGATTGAAGTGTCCCATTTTATAAGGGTTTAAGGATTTAAGTGTTCCATTTTATAAGTTTAGGGACTTAAGTATGAGGTATTTATAAATTTAGGGACTTAAGTGTCCCATTTTAAAGTTTAGGGACTGAGGTGGATAATTATCCAAAGTTTGGGAGGATAAAGTGGAATTAACCCTAATAAATATTGTGAAATGGGAGATCTTCTGCTGAAATTATTACAGCCTTTACAAGAAGACGTGCTCTTTACGGATAGCTAACGCGAATACGCGCCCAAAACCATAAAAACCAAACGTCGAAAAGAATACAGCAAAGTATCTTTGTCCCCTCAGCTCTCCAGTTCCGTCTGCTACTTTCCCTTCCCCTCCGGGAAACACATTCGCAAAACCGCCAAGCAACTTCAAGAGTAGACCTAACCTCATTCGATACAAACTTTTTATCATTTGCTTTTAGGAGCATCAAGGAGTCCAATACAGCAACTCGATCATGGAAGAGTAATATCCTTCTCGGTTTTCCCCATCATCTTTTTGCCCTTTTTTTTTTTGAAAGATCATCTTTTTGCATTCACAAGCTACTTTGTTAAATTCGAGTATTGTAGCTTCTGATGTGGTTATAAATTTTAAATTTGGTATCTTTACATGATTTTGACAGATCTGAGACATATCCGAAAGACTATTACTCTCAAGAACCCAGAAGAACCACCTCAGACCCCACCTCCAGCTACGCCTCCTCCTCCACCACCAGTGTCCACGTGACAGCCCTTGATGGCCTAGTCAATGTTAATTCACTCTTCACAATAGCAGTATTTGTGGGGCTATCTTTAACCACCCCACACCAGCACAGCCTTGAAAATTCAGCTTGTGATGCCGGCATCGATGTGGCCAAGAAACTCCTTGTATTTGAGGTCGTGTCCTTTAGTTTCTTCCTCTTCTCATCCCTCATAGCTCAAGGCCTCAAGCTAGCCATCAATCTTTTGAATAGTAAAGATGTTGATGAGGCCTTTAGAGCCCACATCAGTTTGAGGGTCCTGAGATTTGGGATGTTGGGCTCTGCAATTGGATCAGTAATGGGGTGCTTGTTCTTGATGCTTTCCATGGTGAATGTGATTGAAATAAGGCTGGGGATGTTGTCTTGTGGGAGTAAATCTACAGTTCATGCTGTTACTGCTTTGATTGTTCTGGTGTCGTCTGCTCTGTTGGTTTACATTTCAACTGCTCTGTACGCTTTTCTGCATTAGCTTAAACTAGTGACCTGTCTTTTTTTTTTATCTCCAAGTTTATGACTTTATTGTATTTTCTGGTTATTGTGTACTATTCGGATGCTTCGATGTGTTTAAGCTTGAGGTAATCTGTTATTTCCAGTGCAATTAGAAAAAAGTTTTGTTCTTTCAATGTTTTTGGTAGAGTTGAGGTTGCATCACTTTTCTGTCAAACCATTTAGATTTGGAGCCTAATTATCAAGTTATTATCTTTTCTACATTGTGGATTGCATTGTTTTGGCCAAATCAAGTTTGTGATTCATACCTAGATTTTCTTGGAGTTCATTCACTTGGGACAGGAATAAATTCGGGAACAAAGAGGAGGATGATTACTACTTATGAGGTTTAAATTAGTTTTTGTGGAAACTTTAACAGCTCGCGTAAAACTTCAGCATTGTCACAAATTAGGAGTAGACTGCAAATGATAGTTTCCTGTGAGAATTCTTACTCTTTTCTTTTGGCTACATTAGGCTTTGACACGATAGAAAACCAGCATCTTTATCCAACCTATTAGGTCTTTTGCAAAGGCCATCTGTTTTATGGTTGAATTTAGATATACCAACAGCCGAGTTTATCATATCACATGCTGCAGTCTTTGAAGTCAAAGAAAGGTGATTCTTCAGTGAAAGCATGAAGCTTTGGTGCATCTGAACTCAAGTATGTTAAGGGAGAACAAACTTAAGCTCTATCCTGTCCTACATTTCAAGAGCAAATGATTGCAGACACTTACGGTTACTTTATGCGAAACAAATCACCTTTATTTAGATGAAATTTTGATCTACTTCAATTGTTTGCTGACGAAGGATTGAGGAGCATTTGAAAATTTAAGCTACCGTAATTTGAAAGAAGGATGGGCAGTGATCTGGTTGCTTTACTAATTTTATCTGCAATCTGTCCAATAGATGCAAGAAAGTTGGTGCTTCCTATGAAGATATCCAATGCTTCACCATGTATTTTCCGAATTTATTATTTCTACCTTACTCAATGAGTATTCCTCAGGTGAAATTGGATTCGGATGTCTTACATGAAATTATACATCTGGGGAAGGAATCTACATTATCTGTGACAAATCTCTTTTGATCAGTTATTCTTCCCTTTATTTCCCAGGAGCTGGTTGTGATTCACACAGTTGCCTTGCAAGTCTTATAGTAAGATTAGAGATCTACTCTAATCTGGTCATATTTAACTATGAAATACTAAAATCTTGGATGCTGCTTTCTACAACTGTTGTGAACAGTTATCTTCTGATGGTATTGTTGATTGCATTTTTTTTTTGGGTCAATTTTTGCTTCCAATAGTGTGTTGTTTGACATACACGTTTAGTTGCAAGATTGCTGTTTCGCATGTTAACAGTGACTTAACATTGAGATCTTCAACCATCCATCTCTTTTTATTTCTTATGAGAATGAGAGAGAGAAATCTTGAAATGCTTGGTTTTAAGCAATTCAGTAACTGTAACCAGAAAATGCTAAGGT